TCGCCCATGAAAACAGTTTTTGTCTAATTCTTTTCCCGGTACTAAAAGTCGAATGACTAAATATTTGGGCTTTTGAGTGTTTCAGATCTATCACAGATCTAAGAAAATATTGGAAATTGAATGTTATATTATTAATGAATTTTTATATAATAAAGATAAAAGTTGTTCAAACCAGAAATTAGTCGAATCTCTGTTCAAACTTGCCTAAAAACGGAACGAGTATTAATAGATTATCATTTAACTTTTATTGCATATAATGAGCTGTTCACTGAACCAAAAAAGGTTATTTGTCTCAGAGCCTTAATAGAAATTTGTCAGACTCTATGAACTGGTTTATAGAGTCTGAATACGTTTCACTAACAACTTTCAAACTCTGGCTATCAGAAAATGGAAACTTGATGTGTAATAATCCGTTTTCAAGGAAAATAACTGCATTTCATGCTTCGGACAACACATACAATGTAAATTGGAACAGCTCTTCTTCGCAGATTATCAAAACCACAGAAAACGTTTAATTACTTTTTTGAATTATCTATGTATGTAATGTGATGAATCACCAATAATGTAAGCAGAACGAATATTACGCATAACACTTTTAGTTGCATCATATTACTTAATAACAACAATGCTCATTGAATATACTGATATGAAAAAGCTGATACTGAAATAAACGATATTTATTATTTAACTTTCCAGTCATTAGACTTGCACATTGAATTCGCTCTCTCAGGTCTTCATCGCTAACAGTATATGATAACCCACAGTTAACATAACAAATGAATTAAGAGTCTAAAAGATCCCAAGGAAATTCATTGAATATGAAGTTCTCAACATTAAGACTAGTCCTGTTAAATCACATTAAAATACCGCAGAATAATCTTCTGTTCCTTATTGCAGGCTTAATTCAACCTGAACTACTTGCGCGAAGATTAATATAAATGTACTTAATAAAGCAAATTTAATCATCGTTCTTCTCCTCATGTCGTTCAACTTGTGGTAGCAAATGAAAAGTCGTGCTTTCAAGTGTGGATAAATAAAAGTGAATGGATTTTGGGGCCTTTGGAAACCACTTGCCACATCCAACTTGATATTTTGCCTCGTCTCTAATAAGAAGAGAAAAATTGCCTTATATGCAACAATCAACTTAGAAATAGTTAAATAATTCCCATCAATTTCCCACCTGTTCCAAGGCAGAAATTAATTTTCTTATTTTATTCTTAATCACTCGAAAGAAATATATCACTGGCAGCACTTTTATCGCTCAAGTCTTCGGAACATAAAAAAATTGTTTCGAGTTTAACCGTTATGAATCAGCATAGGAAACATCTTCAAAGCGATTTTTTATTTTTAATAAGAACGTCTGAATTTTATTTGCCAACAGCGAGATAAATAAATGCTATGAAAAAAAGTTACATGAGGACATTGCCCGGTAGTTGAGATAGTGGTAGATACATCACTAAAAAGAAGTTTCAACAGATATTTTTGAATTTTTTTTAAAATCGTAGCTAATTAATCAGGATTTTAGGAACGTATTTTCAAACAACTCAACTAACAATGTGAATTTCAACAAACTGAAATGGTTCAGTACAAGAGCAAACCAATTAAACTATACCGAGATATAAACTATTGTTTCAATTAATCAAACACATTAATTAACACTTTAATTATTTACGTGCATGTAGTATTTTCCGTAATTTTTTTCTCGAATTAATAATATTAACTGTTAATAATTTTATAGGTAATACTTTATTGCATAAGTTCCACATAAAAAATCGCATTTTTGAGTTTTATAACTGTGGTTCTGGCGCTATGCGCATTTTATCATGACTGTTGTTTGATTTGTATTCGACCGATGAGCAAGGAATCCAATTATTTTCATACTTAAAACGTAATTGGGGCTTACGAGCTGCAAATTTTCGTGATGTTTGTCATGATGAATAGAAGATTGAATATTGCAAAGTAATGTAGCCGGAAATAAATAATGATCAACTAAATTAGGAATTCTACAAATAGAAATTCCTGTTACACAAGATAGCTGAACAGTTTAATAAATATATTTGTATTAGTAAGGATATATGAAAAGACATCGTTACATGTTAAGATTATGTAAATTGAGCATTGATTCTATGATTCATTTAGTATGAAATGAGAAAAACTGACAAATTGTTAAAAAGTTATACCTTTAGATAAAATGATTAATTAAAAATATTGGCAGCTATTCAAGACATTTTAGACTAGCAAAACCGATCGATTTATACTTTCGCTAATTAAATATGTGATTTTAAGATTATTCTAAATAATTAAAACCCCCACATAAATTCAGCTCAGGTACATTTGCAGAGTGAGACTAAAAAAACATTGAAAAAACTGCTAGGAACGAATCTTCTCCATTTCAGCACTTGAAGATGTTGATTACCCTTAACGCACCAGTGTGGGAGATAATGGGCACATGTCAGTACCCTCTGAAAGGAAAATATCACAGTTGCAACATATTCCAAATATCTTTTGCCTGTGTGAATGACAGTTAGCTGATGTTGCCGACATGCATAACTGTAGTTGATAAAAGTGAGCTCATCTGGTTGTGCGGAAGTGAGCTGATTTGTCACACGTTGCGCTCCGAACATTTCCTGACCATAAATGTAGTTACGTCCAACATGCCGGAAAATTATCAAAATCGTCTTTAATTATTTAGAAACCGAAATGACTATTATAATTTAACTGTAGCTTAAAAGAAAACGTTAGCTTTTTTACATTACATACTCTAGTAAACACAGTCAAATTTATTTTATAAGCATTGCCTTTTTGGGGAGCATGATTCTGTTAGACAAATTTTTATTTCTTATCGAAACCGTTTGAAAATAATGCTTTTTCAATTAATTTTAGATTAATTGTTGATTTCATTTAAGGCTAATTTTCGTTTCAAATTTCATACAGCAGTTGATAATAAAAGGTTACATTTTTAAAACGTTTTTTAAAAATGAATAGACTACTGTAATGCATCGCCTTTGATGATGGCTTGGGTAACTACTGTTCATTGCGAATTTCCACATTTTGGCCAATTAGAGTTGTAATCCGGAAAATAGTTTCTCTTTTTATATTAAAATTTGCACAGGATTCATATGGTCTAAAAAACTGAATAGAGCGTATTATTCAGGAAGAATTGAGTTCAGCACATTAGCCTCTGATGTTGGACAAATTTATATAAAAAGTGATAGGTCAATGATTTTCATTAAAATCAACGTTACTTATTCAAATACGTTCTAAAATTTGCAAAGAAGTTGTTAAATGCTGATATGAAATAATTACTCTGATTTTGTAAAAAATTAGGAGTAGGCCCATAATTTAATATCTGGACTTTTCAAGCAGATTTGCCTAAAAATTTTATTGATTGCTACTATTGTAAATCTTAAACAGGTAGATTCTACCATGACGCACCCTGATATTATTTTTTATTCCTTAAAGTAAAAGGAAATTTAAAAACTTATTGAATTTAGTGTTTATATCTGTACATTTTTGTATATGAACTATATCATTTTATTTCTATAATAACTAGAAAATAAACACTAAATAATTAAATCTCTATTCAATATGTATACAGGGTGAGCATTTTCTGAATCTTTGTATGGGTAACTTCTACATTTTTAAAGATAGAAAATCCGTTAAATGAACAAAATTGGGCAGAATTCGATTGTCTATTCATTACCATTTTGAAAATTTAGATACCCGACTTGGTTCCTGAAATATCATGAAAATACAAGAAATCAACACTTTTTTAATTATCACATATTTCGTAAACTGCTTAACTTAGAAAAAAATTTAAAATTTCCTTTGGTAGAACTTTTTGCGTTGAATTCAATAAACTAGCACTCGTTGTCATAGTCAACTTGATTTACGAGATAAAAAATAAACTTATGTTTTTTTAAATGGTAATCATAGTTGGCCTTGGGCCTTCTAAAATGCTCATTTTTTTCTAAGTTATATACGTAATTTGAAAGACTATTTAATCTGAAATTGTATTCGTGTCCTAAAACAAAGTATTTTTTGTAATTAAATGGCACAGAACCATTTTAGTTTGGCTCTGTATGAATTGGTGAAAGGTTGGGTACAAAAATTAAGTTGGTACCGTAGTACCATCATAGCGTCTTGATTTATTGGTGACTTGAAAACTTCTTTTGAAAATTTGAATGAATAAACACAAAAGAAAAAAGAGTGAATTTATAGTGCCAAAGTTAATATTTGATCTTAATTGTGACTATAATAAAATGTCGAGTAAATTTCAATAGAGTGTTATTTAGTCAATGAGAACAAAATAATGAAAAACAGGGTATTTAATTTGGAGATTCAAACTGAATATTCGAGTTTAATTGCTGCTATGATAAAACGTCGAGTTAATTTCAATAGAATGATCTTAAGTCAATGAGAACAAAATAAAGAAAAACAGGTTATTAACCTAAGTTATAGTATCAAAGGTAATTTTTTATTTTAATTGCGACTATAATAAAATTTCGAGTAAATTCCAATAGTTGTTCTCCAAGAATGTTCTCTAGACAATGAAAATAAAATAATGGAAAACAGGGTATTTAATTAATAAAACTAAAGTTAATCTGTCATTTTAATTGCGACTTTATTAAACGCTGAAATCAGCTTTGAATTAAATGATCAAGACTTCATTTTTCTCTTTATTTTGAAGGTTTATGGAGATACCGTAGAATTTCGTCAAAACCGTATTTTTTCGATTAGTCAAGCCGATAAAACATTTGTATTTATACAGAATTCCTTGGTTTAATCTTACTAGAAAACCTTCACAATCAAACTACGGCAATTATCTTTCAATCTTGAACAGTAGAATAAGCTAAATGGCCACAAGCTATTCTGTAGCAATCTATTTGCGAGCAAATCTACCGGTGGTTACATGTCGAGCTCAATTTCATGCAAATGGCAGGATACCACTACCTACTTTATATGCAAATGTATATCTAAAGTTCAATGAAAGACATTTAGATGATTAAACTGCACTTTAATATTAATGTGGATATTATGGGACTGCAATATTATAAATCTTAGTAGAAATTCAGTGACATTTAAATCTTTTTCATAAGAATATAGCTTCAAGTTACGACGCTATATTGTACTTCAAAGGATTTATTTCAAGCTCATTCTCGCCGCTTGAGGCACTTCCGTATCTTGACTCAGTTTTGACTTAAGTTGACTGAAACTTTGTCGTATTAAATGACTGAGTTTTAGAAGCCAATGATTTAAGATTAATTTATCGGAAAATGCCAACTTTCTGAACAAGAACTAAATTATCTGAAATGAAAACTTTGACTGGATGCAGTTCGTGTCTGCTCGAAACTGAAATTGTAAGTTCAATTAGACAAATCAATATTTGTGTTATCAATATAAATATAAGTATTAATAAAATCATCTGATAAACTGACTAGAGAAATTAATGAAATAATCCATCTAATCGCATTAATAGAACGTGATCACTTCTTTTTCTTCCCTTTTTGCTTTTTGTCATCGTGCTTTTTATGTTGTGAAAGGAACTTTTCAACGTACTTCTGCTTCATAGCTAATGCATCATTAATCATTTCCATTGATTCTTCTTTAATGTCTTAAAGTGAGATCGGTTCCAATCAGTGAACAACATTATTGCTTAAATCAATACCTGCAAACCAGTTAGCAATAATTTCAAACTGCTCCTGTTGCTCTTGTATTTTGCATTCAATGTCCTCCTGGATGGCTTCTTCTTCCTTTTCATACTCTTTGACTCTTCTCTCAATATTCGATTCCTCAATAATATAGTCATCGGGAGATTTTGTTTTGCTTAAAGTATTGTATGAATGAAAACGCGAACATGACGCCTAAATTACTATTACCAAAAGGCCCAATCCACTTCTGCAAGAGATTTTACCATATATTGATCCAAAGAATCTCCTACAATGACAAATGAGGCAAAGTCTCTCCAATTATTACTTCGCTTAGATTTATCGATTGAAAAGTCACTTTTAAATACTGAGTGTTCTTCAATGTACTTTTTCCTAACACGGTTGTTGTGTAAATTTACTACAGTTGATGCGTTACAATTGCAAGACTTACCTACATTCTAGACCATTTTTATAGCGTTCAATATCGCTGAACCATTTGCTTTTTAACTGCTTCAATTTCTCACTCTCGGAGTGATCTTGTTCAAACTCCAGAACACTGTTTGAACTATAAACCAAATCCAGGGTCCAAAACGGTTCCTCCAGAATAATGGAAGCCGACTTTTTTGGCGTGGATGGTTTCTTATTAAGAAACGGTCTAAGGGTGTGTAGAAATAAATTATTAATATCGCCACAGTTTTTATATACATAAACGCTGATATAAAGTAGAAAACAGCAGAAAAAAGACCTTTCGTCTAGAATATCTAAATAACTAAGTTGTCGCAGCTTTTGAACGCGATCCCATTCATCTGCAGTGAGTGGCCAGCTTCCTTCAACCTGAGAAAGAAACAGTAATTTGATGTTATTTTAATACGGTAAATTTTTATTTTARCAATTAACAGTAACAGTAAAYAGAAATGGTTTTTATGGAAAAAAGGTTTTCCTGGATTATCAAAAAATAATTATTTCAGTAATGCACCAATTACCTAGTAATTTTCAAGTTCAGTTACGAGTTTTCKTTGTGTGCATTAAATTGTGTTTTTAACAGTTARGCAAAGGAATTCAACCAAATGCATCATTTCTGTAATATTTTTGTTTTTTCACAAGCYCAAATGTTGAGTAATTTGTAAWTACTAATTTACTTACTAAGCACTGAACTTTTGAAAGGAATTACTCGAACAAGTTTGGCAAAAATTATCTACATTTGAACTCATTTTGCCAGAATCATATAAAAGATCSTTTTAGATCAATCTTCTTAGCAGGTATATTTGCTATTTGCTTACACTTGGCATTTGAAAAAATGCAAACCCATTTTTAGGTCAATCAGTTAATGTTAATTAAGGTTTGAATAAATTAAATGGCMTGTTTATATARAACAAGATCTTTTATCAAGTCAACTATTGTTTGCAACAAAACTGATTATGATGGTGATYAAAATTTACCACTGTAGCTTCTAATATGTATTGCGTTTGGGGAAAATCTATACTTCTTGTTGGAACTATCAATTTGCTTTTGATTTTCGAACTAACAGATGCCCTACAAATAAATTAAAATTAATAAATGATACTCATTTTGGCCTGTTTTCCAAAGAATCTACTTAATAAAAGCGAAGTAATTTTTAAGGTTTGAACTAATCTTTGTACCTCGATCCTAATTTATTGTGGCTTTTTCTTCCATTGAATCTAGCATCTGAACCTAAAAGCAATTTAAATTATATATAGAGGAATCTAGTTATATTTTTATAAATACCGTTAGACATGTTAAACTGATCTTATAAATTATAGTAACGTTGATCAACTGTTTATATCTTAAGGTGACACAACGTTAGATAATGTTATAAAAAAAGTAAGTTGATTGAAACTTACTATACAGGAAATATGAATTGGGATTAGTGTTTGACTGAAGTTAATAAAAGTGTTCACGTTCCCTGTAGTTTGGTGTTGAAAAATGCTGAAATGTTGAAGCATATGATTATTTCAACAAGTCTGATTTACGCTGTCGAACAACTCTTTCTTTCCAATTTCAATATGTTTTCATTCTCGAAGTTAACGTTTTCAAAATTCAGTAATTACGAGACCTCGATTAAACATCTAATCATATTTGGGGATAACGGAGATGTTTTAAAGAAGCATGTACGTAATATCTGCAGAAGAAACAGCCGTATACTCTGCTTTTTCATCGAAACATTTTGGAAACTCATCTGAATTGATTAGCAAAATTTCGGAAGTGAAAATGGCTTTGGAATGTTCAATTCACAAACATTGATTTACTTTCAAGTTTTCCTCAATAGAAAGGTTGAGATCTTTAGGACAACACGGTCTAGAGAAATATACTCAATGTAAAAAATACTACTTCCTTTGTACTTTAAATATTAATTAATATTAATTAATTCTATTCTTAGAATTAATTCGAAATTCTAGGTGCGCTTGGTTTTGCGTGGTAGAAACAAGAGTTATCACTTACTTCGTTGAGACGTGTAACTTATTTCATCATCCATATCTCCAACTTCACTGAACTTCTTTTTATGCCGTTTTGTTCCGTCGGTTAGTGAATGTTTTTGCGCACTGAAGATACTAGCACTTTTATTGCTTTCAGTATCGACTAGTCCGGATGATTTAAGGCCTTTTCTATAAGATATTTCACTCACTTCACTCACTGACTCGATTCTCCTGTTCTGATCTGTGTTTTTACCACAATATTTCCTCATTAGTTAAAAAAATATCAATAATTACATACCTTCCACCAGCTGTTTTACTGAAGGTTCTGAAACTACTGTGTCAGTCTGCAGATTCATCATCGGAAGCAACACCGTTTTGGTTCCATTCTTTTCAAGCAGTCTTTTTCCATTTTTGTCAATCAACTTTAAACATATTTTAACATCGTCGAAGGAGGTGGTTAAATTTGCAGTTACAAAAGCATCCGATCCAACTTTCACTATACATCGGCAAATAACACTTTTATAGTTGGGTATGTAATTGTCCTTCAGGACTGATGTTGCCATAAAGGATTGAGGATTCACTATTAAATTATTTTTGGCCATAGTTTGAGTTGCCAGAACCAACTTCCAATTGGCTTTGGCTTCATGTTCTGACCATCCGTAGCCCAGTACAGTATACCCTTTTTCATTTGCTGGATATTTACATACAGCCACTCTGTTGATTTCCCGTTTGATTTCCGTGAGATTGTCGTTGTTAAAAACTCGGATACAGTATTGATTCAAATTACAGAATAAATGCATTTTTACAAACACTGGGTCACGTGCTTCGATTTGAAATTCATACCGACAGAGTGGAACCCATACACATTCTTGAACATTAATTGAGCCCGTAAACACACGGAGACTCAGAACGGACTCAGTATCCGAAAATATGTCAAACTTTTGGTTGATGCTGGACATTTCTGGGTGCTCAAAGACGCGTCTCAGTAGAGTAGGACAATAGACTAAACGCTTCTCTGAAGCAAAAATATCGACGTAGGTCTTTTTCAGGGTATCAAAAACTCCTGTGGGAATTAGTTAAATAACGACTAGGAAGAAGCTCATAAATCACTTACCGAAATATTCCTTGTGAGTCTGAGATGTTTTCTTCAACATTGCCCTTATGTACCAGCTTTTAAAAAACGCCTGAATTTTCACCGCAGCTCTTTGCATAATTTTAGCATATTCCACTTGCTCCATTAGTGCAAACTTGTCTGGACACAAGTGAGTTTCTTCGATGTAAGGATTAGGATAGTCAAAAGTCTTTAGATTGAAAAACAGCAAGTTTATCGCATAGAGTGCATCTGATGTTAAACTATTTTCTATAATGGTTTTGCACAGTTCTTCAAAGACAATTCTGTGAACTATGACAAGCTCTTTTTTGGATAAGTTCTGGAACGGTTTGTAACATTGGTAGAAGTTTCTTAGACATATTGTATGTTCGGGCATTCCAAACGATTGAACCAGTTTTCCTGAAATGATTTATTCTAATATAGTACTGATTATTATATTTAAGGCATTGTTCTATTCATTTAACTTGATTATTGTTCCGGTCAACTGCAAATTATTATCATTCTTGGGGCATTGACCACAAAAATTTATTGCTTATATCTGAGCCTGAGTGAAAATTTTACTTGTACGAATTACATTTTTTATCGTGATTTCAGAAAAGCGATTTGTGAATTTCTATTTAACTTTTGAAAATTGCTTTCAGGACTGTACCTGAAAACATGCTAACCCAAACATGCCCACTCGTGTATTCAATATTGCTTTTCAATTCACACATGGAAAGGCCGTGCAAGTAGGTACTATATTGCGACATTTTACGACTGAAATTTTTCATGTAATATGAAAAGATATTGGCATATTGAAACCTTCTGAAGAAGCTCATAGAGGCAAGGGATTAAACTTTAAAACTCGCCGTCACAATCGGTGTGAAAAGTAATTTGTGTTAAGATAATTACGTAAAAATACAATTTTCTTCGTAAATACAATACAAAATAAAATTAGTAACAAGTTTATGTTAAATTATTTTTGTAAAGCTTCTCAACTTACAGAGAGTTTTATAAATAACTTAATTGATTACTCAAAACGCTCTAATTTGTATGGAAGTTTTATGTCAACGGTTGTTGAATTTTTCGAAAAACACCATACACTTTCTATTCTTATCTGCATAAATCTCATTACGGGGCAAAGTATGATTCAAAAAATTTGTCAGTCAAATTTTTTCAGATCAAATTCATACAACATAAAGTGAAAAGTTCTTGTATTATTATATGTTAACAAAAGATTTACATTAATACTTCCGTCTGCTTCTAGGATTATATGCGTACAAAATATAACACAAATTTCTTTCTCTGTAATCTATTCCAAGAATAGCAAATTTGCATTAATTTTATAACGATTTTTATAGATTTCAAATATCTACTCCTTTGGGCTTGAAAATTAAACATGTACCATAACAGCTTGATAATTCGTAGCATAGATTTGTCAGAGTTTGCGATTCCGCACTACAGGTCTGCAAATATTCTTCCAAACATCCAACACGTACTGTCGAATCAGAAAACAACTGCAATACATAGGAGCAATCAGCTGAAATCCATAGCCTGAAAAATGCAAATTAATCCGAACGTATTTCTTTTGGTATCCGTATTAATTATATCAATTCAATATAATACAATTTTTTGATATTGAACACAAACAGAAATAATACAAATATTGATTGATTACTGAGTTTTTAAAACATTTCTATTGAGATAATCATTTTGAAAATATGTTAGTATGGCTATGGAAAATTACCTGAAAGACATTCTACCAGGCTTTAAATCGAGCATTATACTTCTTGTTCCATAGCTTCTGAGAATTGCTTGAGCGTTGCCTAGAGAATTTGATTTCCAGCTATACTCTTCTAAAACAAGACTTACTGATTTGCAAGTCATCCTTTGAACGGACGATGATGAATCAGTTTCAATTACAGTTTTTGAAACGTCTTTTCTCCTGGTTTTTATCAACACGATTTCTTCACATATATCTACATCTTCAGAAGAAACCATGGCATCTTCAATATCATCTTCTTCTAATAAAAATATATTCGACCTGCTATAAAGTAGTGCTTACACTTGCATATATTGAAAATACCTTCGGTATTTTTTTGCAATAGAGCAACATTCCCCAATTGAGCTAAGTTAATCAGCAAAAATTTATAATCGATGGAATCCATAAATAAGTAAATTGGCTCGTTGTTCATTTTTTTGCGGGTAATGGGGGCATTTATGTGACGGAACTCTTGGGACGTATTTGGAAAATTTACATCAGAAATCTTAGTTTTATCTTTAAATAGTCGTGGTTGAAAGTAAATGGTTATGTGGTCGATTTCTTGTTGGAAATCCATGAAACCTGCCCAGCTGCAAGGCTCTGGTTCGAGACGGACTGACTTGCTGCTTTTCGCAGATTTTTTCGAGGATTTGGAACTTTTTTCAGACTTTTTGTCTGAAGTTTATTTTCACGGAATAAATTATTTTAGAGTTAACGGTATTTTACCTGCATCATCCACTAGTTTATCCGCAAATTTAATATCCTCCGGCTTGGGAGCACTTTCAGTAACTGGGAGAATTCTTCTAATCGGATCTATAATTTTCAGCGACTGTATGTTGAGCTTTTTAATATCTGGTGATAAAATCCCTTGCTCAACAGCCCACTCTTCGAACCGAAAAGTTTTCCAAAACTCTATTTCTAAAGCAAAAGTAATTTGATTCAATTTTTAATGCTACCGTAGGTAATTGCCGAAAGTTTTTCAAAGAAGAGAGTTGCCGTTTTTCAGGCTAAGAAAATTTAATTTGTTTGAGTTGATGATTTTACAGTAGTAAAAATAGTAACGAAAAACATTCAATAAAAATTTTAGAAAATGTAATTAAGACATTGGACAATTCGATACGAATTACCTGGCCTAGGAGCTGGCTGAATTAGAGGAATATCTCTAATTTGAACTAAAAATATTAAGCTGCTTTTGGCCATATTGCTGGATTCGACGTGATTAGTCCTAAAAATGAAACTCACGGTTATTGTGCGCAAACCGCTATATAGAATTGATTTGAATGTTTTTAGCTAGCCTTTTACAATTAAATCCGAACAAATTATTTTACTTCAGGTAGATGAGAGATTTGGCAAACAAATATGCCTCAGTTTTTCAATTTTAAATAATTCAATTAATTAAATTATTTTATGGCATGAAGCTTCTGAAACACGCCTCAGTTATTAAATATGAAATTATTTACTTAGACTAATGCAAGATAGGGACTGATTATTTTAATAAATCATGTTTTGTTATGTGTGCGACATGCCCGTAATTATTCAGTTTGTATATAAAACAAAAAATTCAGGCCACATTTTAAATATTGTTAGCAGAAAACTATTCTTACTTTGAAGCTTCTCCTCGGCTACAGCAATTTAACATCACATAATGATCTCCATCTTTCATATTTTCCACTCCAACCGGTACAACAGCTTTGACACTCTTTTTGGTCAATTTTGAAGCATCTTTTCCTGTTGTTTTTGACTTTGGACTTCCAGTTTTTTTCGTGCTTCCATCCTTCGTTTCAGCCCACTCAAAACGAGGAACGCATGCAATAAATATGTCCCAAAGGTCGCTAGCGGGAATATCTATTATGTATGAAACGACTTTGTTTACTAGATAGAATATTAATAGAATATGTGAATAACAGGCTAACGTTGGCTTTGAATTTCACGTGTTGGACTATATGTTTGTTAAGTACATTATTCAAAGGAGAAAAACAGAAAAAGGCGAAACGCCAGCAAAAGGATTTTAATAAGTTACCGACTAAAAGCATTTTTGTTGTCGTTCGTTACAATGTTTCCATTATTCTGGTTCTAATTGAAATAAAAAGATTTGTCTGTATTAATCAACAAAAGTAAATCTTATTTGAAATTAGCATTAGCGGAAGGCATCAAAACCGTTACTATATTATTATATTATATCTTCTAGAATTATTTTATTATATAAAAAACAATTGTTCTATAAGAATATGAAATAAATATTATTGCCAGCTGACAGAGTAGCAGTAAAGAAGAAGAGAAAAATACCGTTGAAGTCTGCAATACAATGCAAAATTTTAAACGTTTATTATTTGCAGCTTCCATTTAAAAAATAGATATTTTTGAGTAGCTATTTTCATTATCTCTGAGCTGAAACACCAACTTCGTGGTACTAATTATAAATTTATACATTTTTTGAAATCTGCAATTATGCTCATGCTCATTCAGGGTACAAAAAAACGCTAGCAAAATATTTGAAACATTTTAGTCAAGTTGAACATTAAATTTTAGTGTCTACTTTCAGCGATATCAGTGAAACAAGCTGCAAAAGGTGTATTTTTTTAAAAACCTTTATCTTCTTTAATTTTGTCTCCGTTTTAAATAGTTAAATCATGTCTTAATAGAAAATACCCATTTAGGAAAAAACCGCAAGAGCAAAGTTTTTCACCCATTCCATCGGCTCAGACATTTTCGATTAAAATTTTGATGAAACCTTGCGAATGTACATAAAACAGCCGATAATTTGTTTACAAGCCTCGTTTAACGATTATACCACTTTAAATAATCTCATTAATGGTAAACAATAGATTATTCAATTAACCTTTTCTCTTATCTTTGGCCCTAATCGTACCTGCTAACTGCAGTATAAAATGGAGGATAGGGCGCCAGCTTCCAGAAAGCTGTTAAGAATTATCTCTAATCTATAAATATTTTAGCTTATTCTTTGTATTTCCCTCTCCTTGCTTTGCTGATTTCAAATAAAGTTGGCGTTGGACAGATTTCCTGCTGTATTAAACACATTTTCGTCTTTCTTTCCAGTCCTATCAACTGGCTCGTTGGGTGGATTTGGTGTTGGTTCTTTTGTAGTAAATTTTTATACTTTGGGAATATTTTGGACGGCTTTGTATATTTTATCCAAGCTCATTTTTTTTCAGTTCTAAATTGTGAATGTCGACTGAAACATCATACAGGCGGTATTCGACGTTGCTCAAGAACCCCTTTGAGCCACAGTTTTCGCTTTATATCATTGGATAGATAATGGGAAATTTGATTCAGTTATAACGTGCGTGCGTAGATTCTGGTAGATTTTCACAGAAAGGCAATTTCAAAAGTCACATTTCTTTATCAGAGTTTCAGGTGTGTACGTTTACGCAAAAATGTCAATATTTCAAGTTTCTACTGGCATTACTTTGAAAGTGTGAATTTCTTATTGAAGAGTCTGCAGCAGCGTAAAACCGTTCATTTTGAAGTCCAGATTTACGAAGCACGCAAAATTCCAGGATTTCATGTGATCTGAATGATTTTTAGACTGCACTCTTCTTTACTGAAGGCACAACTCTGAATTTGTGAATTATTTTTGGTGTCTGATAAATTTGATTTTGATAAACTGAATTCGAAATGTGTCCCGCAAGAGTTATTTGAAGTAGGCATGGGTAGCACTGTGTTGAGTTATTGCCTCTCTGAGCCCGTATGAGTTCCAACTCATTGTGTCTCACTGTGCCGCATTCCGAAGTACGCTTAGTATTTAACCCAGAGGAGGATTAAAGCTTTACTCTTTTCGAGCAATCAATCAAATGTTTCTTAATGTGTATTTCWTTTKCTTTCARATATAATTAAAACTATTTTTAGGTGTTAGATGAAACCTGCTGAAATAGGGCATCTCATTATTCAGTTAAAAAGGGTCAGAAACTAAACGTGCCCAGCTTTTACTGACTAGCAGTAATTCCTTACACAGTGAATAATCCATTCAAATATAACACATAATAACAGTTTTCGTACCTTTCGTCTTTATCTTCTGCGGAATCCATCCAGTCAAGCAATTAACGATATCAAAATCATTAGTCGCAATGGTTGAAAAGCATGAGCTTAAACTTGCGATTTTTAAGAGAGCTTTGCATAATATCATAGGCCATAATTGCAGTGTTTCCTTCCTTACAGGGCTACCTTTCATGAGAAAACTCAGCGTCATTAAAACGAAATTAATAAATATGTATTTTTCGTAATTTCGGAGTAACGATAGTAAAATGAGGAGCTGTTAAGCAAAGCTGTTAGAACCACGACGACCAATCCGTGCTTTCCATTAATTGTAGAACGTAGTTTCTTTCGTTCTCCTGCAGTTTATATTGCATTAGCATAGCTATTTTATTAATCTTATTTGCTTCGCTTAATTAACTTTTATGAGAAATATGCAGTGCTGGAGAAAACGTAACTATTCATAATTAATTTAAATAATAGTTCACCAATATGATTCCTATAAAATAAGTTTAGTATCTGATGATGCATACATATAGGTACGTACAAAATGTTACAACGTCGAATAACAGAATTTACGTTACTTGGGGGTTCAATCCCCAATAATAAGCTTCAATGTCTTCACTGCTTTCGTACTAAATGATCAACCAGTTGTTACCGAAACAAACATCCATAAAATATCGGCTTGAATGTTAAAAACGCTACGTAGCGCTGACATAATTCCATTGTTTTATGTTTCCTTCTCAGAAATAGAGGCAATGCGACGAAACTTCTCCGAGGCGAAGTTTTTGATAGTGGACGCTTCAAGTTATAAAAGTAGCAATTTTTCAAAGTTTAGCTTTTTAAAACCCCGAAAAGATTTACAAAGCTATTTTTAAGTGCATCCTCTTCATACTTACTTCTCTTGCTGGGTTTAGTTTTTGTAGGTTTATTTTCCACATTTATATTTTGTGTCTTTTCTTGAAGCAATACTTTAGGTGATTGAAATGTAGGCAGCAAGACGTTGTTGAACTGATCCATAGGCAAGAAGTCATCTACGTAAATTTTGCGCCAAGTTCCCATCCAGAAAAGACGGACAACATATTTACCTAGAAGATATTGGCTAAATGGGAATTTAATAACACGTTTGTGGTTTTTGTAGTTTCTCACAGTTATAGTTTTGAAAAATTTGCTAAATTGGTTTAATTTGATTTACGGAGCCACCCTGATCGTGTTTAATAACTAGCTGCTTAAATGATATTTATTTTCCATTCAATTCGCGGCTATTTAATTTGAAAAAACCATTTTGTTATGTTGGTTGACACACTGTTTTCGAATTCAAACGAAAATTATTTAAGAACGTTTTTATTTGGCTAAAAATCTGTTCAAGTAAGCAGATAACATTCTAAAAATGTCCGCACTATTTTACCATCTTTCGCCTGACGCAAAATGCGTTTTAAAACAAATTTGACTTTAAACCAAACAAAGTTATTTTAGAACATATCGCTTGAGGAATTCTCAAAAAAAAATGACCGGAAATAAATTCACGAAGAAGCGAACAGGCGCATGGACTAATTCGAAAATAGTTCTCTCTTTGCTTTTCTTTCTCCTTTTCATAAAAACCTGCGTTTTCCAAAGCTAATTAACTCACTTCAAACCTCTCTTGAATTTCATTGCTGCATCGGATGTGTTTATTTTCTACTTACAGTAAAAGTGTAGAAAAATCTTGAATATTAAAATCTATAAAATATGTTTCATAATTAGGTCTATATACAAAAAGAATCTCTATGTTTTTATCAGCTCTTTATATCGATAATCCAGTGCATTTGACAACGTCTATCAGTTCACACTCACTCTGCCTGCTGACCGAATCAATAAATCTGCTGGAAGAGAGCGATTCCAATAAGGAATGCAAAGTGCCCGTTTTAATATAGACAGTTTTACACAAAGAACAAAAAGCCAGACCGTCGGTGTCAGGCTACATTTATTTTCCTTTGAACATCTGCTCGAACTTAAAGGAAATATTTTATCATGGGAAAAGGTCAACTTGAAATTTTATTCGCTAGTATTGAGGATTTTTGGGATGAAAAAGTGGAAACGATACGTTTTATCGTACCGATTAAATTTTTAAATTCTCAATAACTGTTAAGAAAACTAACACATTGTATATTAAAGAAATTCATAAACTGGATCAAATGTATAACTGAATTTTTTGGAGCCTTTCGAATATGTTTTTGCTATTGAAGCTTAGACAATTTTTCACTTAAGAAAGAGATAAATTTTGATAAAATCTTGAACCTGTTTAGTTATACACTACGAGCTTTCTGAAAGAAGACCTCACGTATCATATTTCAATGAATGAATTCAAAGGCTTTATTACAAATTCACGAGCTGTAAAGAGAGGTGAAAATAGTCATATTAGGGGAAATCAAAGGTAAATGGACTTTTTTTCGACCGGTTAATATCTGGAAAAAYGTTAGGAATGTTAGGAACCGTCTTGAGAACTGCCCTTTGCTTCATACKCTTTATCAGACAGTCTCAAGYTTCAAAGAGCRAGAAAAAATATTTTYGTTAAAAGGACYGACAAAGTTCAAGGGTTTAAATCCCGGAGATGCTTAAAACTGCATGAAAAATCCTTGGTGGTTTTTCRATAAAACATRTTTCTCTAGTGAGGCTTTATGAGAAGGTATTAGATGTAAAACGTTTTTATTGTGTATGTATGTAGTATGTAACTTCCGCAGTTTTTATCTCAACAACGATAAAAATGTGTTCATATTCATTATGATATTTTCCTGTCTTTTCCATGCTAGTACTAATCAGAAAATAGAGAAAACTGTTGAACAATTCCATAGAATAGATATCGCAATAATTTTACAATTCGTCCTGATATGATTCTCTGTTGGTAAAAATATTTTTGTATGCGCCGATCGAAATTAAGTTGTCCAACATTGGATGGGTAGATTAATAATTCCAACTATTTGTGAATTTTTCTCAAAATAACTGAAAATTTAATCTAATATGGCGTTTATATGCCCAGTTGGCCGGTTAATACAATTCACAATCATTCTCTCAGTACGGCGAAGAACCTTCCACAGTAAATAGCTGAACGTTTGCCAGATGTGTCTTGATAAAGCTTAAAACATCTGTTAAAGTTCTTAATAAGTATGATTTCATATCAATTAAAGTGTGATTCATTATAAGTTCAAAAGCGAATACAAGTATTTTAAGTATAAAATATAGATACTTGTTGAAATAATGTTTTTTTTATTATGCAGCGTGTCTACTTAAGTTGGCAACATATGGAAACTTTGTTTATTAACAATTTTACCAAGAAAAGTTATACTTTATGAAAAGTTATGCACGTTCTGAAAAGAAGAAAACGCAAAGTCAAGCATCACGTTTTATTTTTTTCCAGTTGTATACGCGGTTCGTCAATACAAACTAATTTTGCACAAAAGTAAAGTACCTTTTTTGGGCAACATCAGAAATTATTATTAAATTTTTTTTTGTCAGAACTAAAAACTACGTCTAAATATGTAATTTCAACTTAATTAAACCTTTCTCTTAATTTTCGTCTAGTAATCTACCGAAATCGAACATTTGTCTTTTTTATTTATTATAAGCGTGAACGTTTAATTTCGTGCCCAAACTAATAAGCAATATTTTGCGGAACTGCACTTACATTTGCATTGTTATTACAGCCAAAAGTAGCAAAAAAAGGCAACAACAGGATGTTACTGCACATTTCAGCGTAAATTTTAGGTCTCAAAAAAAATTGTCAAAAATAAAGGTATATCAAAAATATGTACTTTACGGTTCAGCAAAGTTCAACTGACAAAAGTTACCGTTCAATTTAAAAAAGTTAACATTTTAAAACATGCAGAACTTTTCATAAAGAATAACGTTTTTGGAAAATTATTAATAATAGAGTTTTCCAGTATTCTCAACTAAAGTAGACACACTGTACAAACTCGCGTTTATAATTTTTAATAAAGTTTTTAATTTTGACTTAACACGGCTYTTAGAATTTTGTAGAGTTTCTTCGATGTCTAATGCTTTCTTAAATAATAGAATTTGATAAATATTTCGATACTAAACCGCTTTTCTTTATTCTATGTTCTAGCTTAAGTTTACTGAAGAACTTGGAAGCTTTTGCATTTTTATAAAGAAGATGAGATTTTAGTCAGAGTGGGGAAACTTACCAACAGGATTGTAAACAGGCGAATGTTCACCTTTGGTGATTTTGCAATTTGAGTAAATATGATGCCACGGTTTCCAAGCTTTTTCCACAGATGTATAAAATGCCTGACTCCCATATTCTTGTAAAAATGGTTTAGTGCTACCAATGTACAACAAAGTCTCAATTACCGATACGAAGTGTCGGTAAAACTCAGTCTCTAAAAGATGAGTGTTAGGAGTTACCAGATCAGGATACTCGTGAGAGTTTGAATAAACCACAAAGTTAACCTGCAAAAAGATAATCTTATAAATGGGCAACTTCAAAATAATAAATTTAAATAAGGCAATGCTAGGAAAGACAATTCTTTTTATAAGCATAAAAGTTTGAAGTAATTAATCAATTACATTGCATTGTACGGACATGCCGTGTTGGCAATCATCCTTGCATTTCAGCAGAAAATTATATTATTCCATAACAAACAGAGATTCTGAACATTAGTGAGCAATTGGAGACAAAAACAAGAAGATTTTCCGTTGAAGAACAATTTGCTCAGGTGCTTAGCGCGATGGACGTGAGTGAGTTGATATTGACGTGAGAAAGATGCACATACGCTTCTTAAAAGCAGCCAGTTAAAATACTGTAAAATCTCTGCGTAATTAAAAACGCCTCTTTTGTGACCTTATGATTGCTCAAAGCTCATAGACAATATAGTGGAAAACACCGTGTACGAAAAGCAAAAGAAAAATTGAAAACACATTTTTACTGTGTACTCAACAAAGCATTTTTTGATATGTGTAGGGTACATGTTTCAAGCTAACAGCGTCGGATATATCTTCGCAAGCACACTTAACGTTTTCAAATTCCAAAAATAGATTCCGGAACTGTTCCAGCTTCCTTGATGCGCTGCAAAAAGACGAAGAAACTATTTGGAAAGGGGCCAGAATGGATGGAATGTTTGCTTGGCTCGCGAACGAAATCCGGAATTGATTGGAGCAGCCAGCATTTCTCATTATGCCTCAGTATATCAAAAAGACGTTATCATTTAAAATGCATTTTTGAGTTTCAACATGCACATGGAGCATAAGAGTAGAATCTGGTGGCCCTCTTGAGCCCTATGTGATGGATATTTGGTTGGAAGCTGTTTAATCAGTCGAGTCATTGATTTTTAGAGTTATATATTTTTCATAAAAACCGATACTAAAAGGGTCATTCATGTGAAATAACACGACCGTATTTAAACAATTTTTACAAAGAGATGTGTGCTCCTGTAGCAGAAAAAATGTTTTAAATTTAATTGCAAAATTTACTATTATCCATGCGTATTATACATTTCAGAGCATCCCGGCTATCTCTGTACGGTACGTGTAACTATTGATTAGTTTAGCCATAATAACAGCTAGAAATTGTATTCATTATTGAATTAAACAATGGCCACAGGAAAATTAACAATGGGCCTTTTAACAAAATTTAAAAAAATATGCTTGCAAAAATTGCTGCGAATTGAAAAAAATGATGAAAGCGGGTTAAAAAATATTATATATATATATATTGTCTATATTATATTTATTATAATATATATATTATATATATATATTTATATATAATCTTTATTTCCTACAGAAAAAAGCTATCGAAAAAAATATTGATTTTTTAATAAAGCTACTTAAGGAGCCAACTCAATAAAAGAAAAACCGGAAATTTCAGTTTAACTCAATTTACTTTGCATCTCCGTCACCTACTGATTTGTGAGGATATTTACATTTTATGTGAAAGCCTTAAAGAACTTATTTATACAAAATCTTTATAAAACGCTTCGGTCCATTTTATGGATACTTTCAACGTTTGTTGCTTATCAAATTGAGTGCTTATACGGCGATTTGTATCAACAATAATGTGTTTTATTGCACATATACATATACATTCTATATTGTGTATATGAATTTTATTACAATTTTGAAGTAAACATTATTATTTTCACTTTTCCTCAATTCTCACTGATTCACTAAATATTGTAAATAACATGTGTGGAGTCAGACGACTTGCTAATTTAACAATTAGCAACTAAGTATAAAAAAAATTTGTGGTTGATGAATTTTCATCATTGATATTTTTCACGTTCTTTTAAATTTTATGTGTTATATTTTCTCTACGCTACTACGACTGACCAACTGTTAAATTAAAATGCTTTTCTTTATTTTTTATAAAGTTCGTGATTTGTATGTGATTAATTAATTAAAAAAAACCAACTTTACCTGATATTCCTTAACGTTTGTGGGTACATTTCTTGAAAATTATTTAAAAATACGATATTTAATACGAGTATATTGAAATTTGTCTTAAGAGAATCAATAGATCGAGTTTGAATGTCGAATATTTCTCTATTCCAGTCGTGTAATTGTAATATGGTCGAAATGAAGCTTTTCAAACAGCTAATTTCGAAGTAATTTAAAAAATTCTACACTACAAGTAGATAAAATGTCCGAATGAAAATAATAAGTGTTCAGCTGGCAGTAAATATAAATATTTTAAACTGCAAATTTTTGCTTAATTCATTATTAATTATGGTTTATTTGGTTTGGAAATGAAAACTGCTCCATTTTCTTCCCAGTATTGTAAACAATAGGCACATGCAAGTCGCAATTAGGCAAAATAACATATACTGTAAGTGGAAACAAAAATATATACACACGGTTGCTATAGGATGACATAAGTTCAAATTTAATTTCTATCAAAATCCCACCTGCAACTAAAAAAAGAACACGTAATTAAAAATTATTTGCTACGAGTGCTGCAGCAAATTTACGGATTTTTCCCAGGGAGCTAAATTTCAAATGGTCTTCTATTAAGAATTATTACTTGCTGACTCCTCAGAGTAAAACTAGCATTTAACTTTTTTAATTAGTGTGAGGAAAGGTCGGTTCCCAAGACTGGAAACTCCATTGCTCCAATTTTTTGTTGTAGAACAGCACAGTACAAATCGTTTCATTAAACGGTGAAGGTAGTCAACATATTACAACCTCCTTCAAAGCATTAAGAAAAGTTACAGTATAAGAAAGAAAGCAATTTTAAGCGTGTGCTTATTTTCAATTTCAGACTTCTAAATAATCTAGTAGAGCTTCCCTAGAAGAAGATATTTCGATTGCATAATGCAGTAGTACTGGCGCTTTATAGAGAAATAGCATTTTTTCCTTATCAGCCATTAAATACAGTAAAGCATGTGAATATTGCAGATAATATAACCTCCGGAGCCACGGATATAGGAGGTCATGATGATTAATGATGGGTCTAGCTTAAGAGCCACTTGTCGAGCTTTAGAGTGATGCGGGAAATGAGTTCTAAAACTTCCCTGATCGATTGGGTATTGTGTTTTGCAATTGATTACACTTTGTTGAAATTTACTATGTTATCTAAACGGACCAATATTGCGTTTTTTATCACCTTTATTTTTCATCAAAATTGCAGCCGCGTGGTTTTGATGATTTGAATATATTATAAAAACAATGTATAGACTTTAAAATAATTGCAAGTGTGGAAGTATGTTATACGTATTTATTTCCATATTTTTTCTTTTGATGATTTGTTAGTTATCTGTTATATCTACACGATAATGTCACATTTTCTTTTTTATTTTGCTTCGTTTTGGCATGAATTGATCGCTAATCAATCCTGCAAACTCAACAGCATAATAGGATAATTTGAAAGGAAACGTTAGTGTCTAAATTTCTCCATAGTAGGTATTCGGTAGCGCCAAATGACCATGCAACATAGAAAACATTGTGATATTATCATACGAGGCTTGCCCATGAATGATTAATTAATGTGCTGATTTCCATAAGAGCTGAAAATGTAATGTTTGTATTATTATAGGTAAATGACTAGTGGTTTTGATCGAATTGGTCGATTTAATTGACATCCAGTCACGATTGTGACCAATCCCTCTAATGATAAATTGTTCCGAGGCCCCAGTGAACCAATTCGTGTATAGTGTGTCCACTAATTAATTAAGCATAATGCGGACATGCCATCATCATCTACAGTGTACATAAAAATTGAAATTCACTGATTTGAATGATATATGTATAGATCGATTTAAGGAACCACATTGTATAATATTAACAATTTTTAACAAAAGTTATCATAATGGCAGGTTAATTAAAATAGTTTATATATATACAAGATTAAGCTAGAACTGATTCCTTTGAGGCTTTCAATTGATGTTTTTTATAATAATGGAACACTTAAATTTTACAAATAAATGAATTTTAAATGAGAGTTGGATATTTGTATTAAATAAATTGTTTCCTTATATGACGAAATAAATATTGCTTATATTTGACTATTAACCTTTTTTTTTTTTTTGTAAGCCTATTTAATTAAGCATGAATTGAATGTTGAAGCAAGACGATAAGAGATGTTGATAAATGTCTTAAGTTCAATTTTTGTTGCAAACGAACTGCTGAAGGAAAAATTGGAACCGTAATAATTTATACCGAACTATCCTCTTATTTTTATTATTGCTAATGGCTAGGGTAAAATAGGTGTTTTAAATGTTCGTATTTGCATTTGCAAAACATTTATAAATGAAAAATATTATAGGACAATTTCTGTTAAAATTTTAGCTAGTGTATTTGTCAATTCATTATTCTCTGTCGGTCGTTCTTAGTGATGATTCACTAAAATTAAGAGCTACTTATTTATGGACTTTTGAATTCGTAAATCTGAATTGTCAGGCCGATTTTGCATTGAACGTAAACCTTCTGCTCTTCAAGGAAATTAAATTTCCTTCAATGTAAATGCAATTTCATGTTTTACCTTGTTGCTTGAAAGCACGTTTTACGCTTTTGATAAATATTTAAATTGATGGCTGGCTCGAATATGATGAACTTAAAAGCAATTTTCAAAGCAGCATTTCATTTTATTCCCACGGAGTCTTATAAAACGTTGGTTATTTCATGTGTAATAACCGATCTTGTCGATTCCAAATTTAACCAAGCAAAAATTCGTGAAGTGGAGCAGTTTACTTCATGTATAAAGGCTGGCAGCCTTAAAGTGTATTTTTCAGTTTGCTATCCTGTTTAAGAATTTATTGTTTTGAGGCTATAAAAATATAAGTTTGTGTAAAACTCTTTTGACTTTTCAAATATAGTCTCGTTTATAGGAGCATATGAGTATATTAGTTTACTTTAAAGTTGAAAATTGAAAATGTTAAAAAAAAGTTCCGGAGCCACTTATTAACAATCGCAGAAACACAGATTGTGTATAGTGATATTCGAATTAATAACTGGAAATATTTTCAAACAGGCTGCTAACAAAAATAAATTTATCTGCCAGGAAAATTATCGTAATAATGTCGTAAATCCTAGAATAGTTTAGATTAAAAAATGTTCTGAAATTTTACTTATGAAAATTGTATTTACAATTACCAGATCCACAAATTGTTGCTTGCTTGTACCAAAACATGACTGTTATGAACTTATAATGGATTCAGTCTCCTGGCAAGGACCTAATATCTGGAAAGTTTCAATTTATTCTCGTTAAGCAACAGTAACGCAGAGATTGTCTGAACTTTTTCAGTTTATTTCCCAATAAAAGTTCGCTGTTTTGCATTAAATTCCACCGGTTTCAGCGCTGAAAATGAGATTGCGAAATTAAATAAGAGAATTTTGCCGTTTAGGGATCATTCTGTTTAATATTGTAAGAATTTTGATATTCTATGCACCGAATAACTGAGAGAAATAGGTAGACAAGCAATAGTAAAATTGCTTTTCTTTTCCAGTTTTTGTAATTTCAATTAAAATGGATAAGGTAGAATATGCCTGTTGGAAAATACTTCATATTTGGATTATTTGAAAAAAATATGTAGGAAAGCTAATTCGTGATTCTGACTGACAATGTCCATGATCAGTCCATAAGCTCTAAAATGAGCAACAATAGCTAGCAATTCTGTTTTTTTAGTCGAAAAAAATTTGATTTTTTTGCTGCACTTGGAATGCACAAATTTTTGCATTGAAAGTTATTATTGACGAAAATTCATAACTCGTCCGTCGCAAAATTTCCCAGGCGTCCTTGCCAATATATATTCAATTATGTTTGTTCGAAAGCACTCAGCTTCGGCTTTTGATAGCTCAAATCTTTCCGGATACATAGCAAGTTTGCAACAGCGTCTAGTTGAGTTATATTATAAAATCGTAAATTTTTCCTTCCGAGAGTGACGTTTCTGGAGCAATTGCTCGTAAAAATTATGGTTGTTTATTTAGAGGCAGTCTATTCATATTTGCTTTAGTTGCTTGTCATGAGTTAAACCAAAATCGCTTAAGGAAATGAGTACTGGAAGTACATTTGAAAAAATAATTTATTATTTTAATTGAGCTGTAAAGATAAAGAATTGTTGCGTAGATTTTTTTTAAATCCCAGAAAGATCTAAGATCCCTAAAGTGAATGAAACATTTCAGTTTCAAGTGTTGGAGGTCGTGTAAAGATGATGTATAAAGGGTGGTTTATTATCTGAAAAATTCAGAAACGGTAAATACGAGCCGTTCTACACGTTAAATGGTGGTCATTTGGGAATGCATGGCCATATTCAAAAGTGGATATTTTCAGAAATACAGGATCTGAAATTTAAATTTCTTTTTTTTCTTTAATCTGAAAATATCTGGGTTTCAAACTTAACATTCTGTGCTATTAGGTTTTTTAACGATCAAATCACATTTTGAAGTTTGCTATCAGTTCTGTCGATATTAGAATAAAAACTTTGCATCCTGTTTTTGAGATAAAGGGATTCAACAAACACTATATGTTAATAATTCGCGAACTAAAAATGGAACAAATTTTGTAATTTTCTAAATAATTAAACAAATAAAGTGCATAGTAGGTATTTAAAGCACTTGTTTAAATTGTCCACACAGGATATTTAACCAGGTTATTAATATTAATTTAATATTTTTACCTATATTTTTGTATAGTAGTATGTACATAGCGTTAAAGAGCTAATTTTGTCCTAAATAAACTAAAATTATCAACTTCAGACGCGCCTCGAATTAAAACCGGATTTTTCTATTTAAAAAATTACGCTACTAACACCTTTTCAATGTTTCCATTTTTGTCGGATGAAACAAATGCTAATAAATATCTTTTGCTTCTCATTTTTTGTTAAATTTGGTTTAATTTTCAAGGAATAAATTAAAAACATAAGATAATAAAATTAATAATTACAACTAATGTATTACATGAATAACATTTTACAAATGGGAAAAACTTATTAACTTTTGTGGCACAGTTTGAATGATTTTTTATAAAGCAAATAACATTTATGGAAGTATCGTCTGAGAGTTGATTACGCTCTTGGATAAGTCCCTCTATGTGGTCAATTACATACCCAATTCAAACATATCCTGAAAGCAACTTTAAAGAAAAATTTTCGCTCATCTATAGCCACATGCCACTTTATGGCACTAAGTATTTAGCATTGAGATATGTAGATAACAATTTATAATATTGTGATAGGTGACACATTTGGGTAATTTCCCTACGGAATTTCTTTCGTGCAATTGAGCACGCCTGAATTTACCAAGTGAATGAAGGGAATATAATGTTTCAGCCGAGAAACGGAAGTTTTTATGACCTGTAAAACGATAAACGAAGAAAAATACTAATGTTAATGACCGGCTTCAACAAATGATATCCTAAAAGGCAGGCACAATTACCCGGATGTAAAAGAGAGAGGATGATTTACGCAAATGTTTCAATTAACATTATTTTTACTTTCGGTTTTATTCTCTGTTTTCATGTTTATATACTCATGTATTAAGCTTGTAAATTCACGGTAACCTTTCCGGATATGGTGGTTTTAATTAAATAATTTTCCTTGCAAAAATAGCAAGTTGTTTTTATACTGAATAATGTATAATAATATGTAAAATAAACCTCGTTCTGAATGTACTAACTAGTAACTACTCACGTTTGAATAAACATCGGAACACCTTTTCCATTCATGGGCCGATATACCAGATGGCAAATGCACTTTTTGTGGATCTTCAAATAACGATTTTATTTGACTTTTATCCTGCTGAAAGTGAATTATTATTCATGCATAAGTTGCAATAAACATTTCAAAAAAACGTTTTGCCAAACTTGCGTTGAAAACGAATTGAAATAACGTAGAAAATGTGTTCTGCTATTTAATTTATCTACAATATTGATTCCTTTAAATTAACCAGTCTTCACTAATGGTCGGTTAGCATTATTGTTTTGAGGACTATACAAAGTGTGCACAAATATTGTAAGTTATAAACAAATTTTCAAAAACGTTAAAATATTTAAATTTTAAAAATATTAAAATATTAAAATTTAAATAAAAACATTAATCTACAATAAATTAAAAAAAATATCATTTAGCATTTTATTGCAAGTAATCGTTATTGTAGATAAAAGTTAATAACTATATTTAAGGGTGGTTGAGTTGTTATTTGTTACTTGTTGATATTACTACCCATTTTTTGGTACTACCGATTTTTCTCTCGGGATACTATAATTTGTCACCATTTACCTGCCATTGGAAAACGCAAATAACTATTTAGTTAACTGGAGCGTACTTTCAATTAAATAAATTATATGTGAATTAGTTCTTAACATTTCACTTTATAATTCTTTTTTTTGAAAATGCCTACAAACATTTTTGCGCGAATAGGAGTAATATCAATTATTTTATGTCTATATAAAACTTTTCTGAACTCTACCTTTACTGCTGTGCCATTATCCCATTTTTCTGAGTTGATGTCTTGATCAGTAAATTCGGGAAAAGGGAGAGTGTCCGGATCAGTACCCGCAGAAATTGGAGTAGTTAGAGATGGTTCTTCAGCCACCAAAGTGTTATCAAGTTTCGGTTTTTGCGAACGTTGTTTTGACATTTTTTGACTACCGGCTTGAAATGATTTCTTTTGACACAATGACCAAGTGGAAATAATATATTTTAGGCTAATTTACGAAATTATTAACGTTTGATAACCCAGGATAATTGAAGTAGTTACGCAATACATTTTCCATCTGACGGAAAGAAAATAATTGCGTTGTACGTTCTAAGTATATCTTAAAGCCTAATCCGGTCAACAAAATATCAATTATTTTCTATAATAATAATCCTTCAGGTACTTCATTAGTTCGCATGCTCTTCTGAAGGAAATAAGCAATCCCTTCCAAAATTATAGGGCCTGTGCCCATGACCACAAAATCAAGTTGATTATGTCCAGGACACAATAACTAGATACTTCCAAAACTGTCCCTAGACCGCAATTTTCCATTTAATTAATTATCTTATACTGTTACTAATACTGATATTTCGTAGTTCAAATTAATATATAGGAAACATTTACTAAATTTAGTAAACGCTTAAGTGTTTATTAAGTTAGTTTTTTCAAATTTCAAAGATTTGTTTTAGCAGATTTTAGGAGTTAAGTCTGGCTGTTTTTAAATTGCAGCAAATTAGGTTAGTCGATTGGAGTTTTTTTCAATCCTCTCATAAGTAAACTCGTACCAAAGATAATAGTTTGTTTTACAAACAATTAAAAATATGCACACTAAAGAGCTATTCACAGTAAAAAACAAATTATAAAAGTAAGTAAAGTCTGTCTTGTTTTCAATAGAAAGAATTAGCTGGTTCATTCGGTTTTCTTTTTTAATAGTTTCATACCCTGCAAATATGCAATACGAATTTAATAATATAAATATGTCCGTTTTTACATATTTATTTTTAAGATATTCACAATAAAACATAATTAAAAAAAAAATAAACAAAAATGGCAGCCGTATTAAAAACTCGCATCTAATTCTAGCAGATACAACATGCTTCAATACATAAAAAAAACCTTTCACATTACACAAAACGATTGGTGCGTTTAATAAAAACACGTAATTTTTATCAATTTCTCAAGACAAAGTTTACTTTTACTCCATTTTGAGAGCGTAACATTACATCCTGAGTCATTACTAATGTGTCGGGAGTATCAACAGGTTCCAATCGAAACTTTCGAAGAACTCCACAGAAAAACGCTTTTATTTCCAGCATAGCGTACTTTTGGCCTGAAATAAAATAAATGATATAAATGTACGTAATTATTCCACAATTTTCTCATCTTAAGATATTAAAGTCAAAACATTCCCACAAAGGAAGCACACATGGAAAGTGGAGTTTATTCGTTTCAATAGCCATTTTATAGGTTGGTCTACTATTTATAGTCATGATTAGATTTTAAAATTAATATTTTATGATTCCTTTCTGACAAAAAGTCCCACTAACATATGTTCAAACACAAAAAAAATTCTCGATTTAAACTGATACATATGCTTTTCAAATATCATTTTTTACAATTAAATATAAGCCCAACCGTCTACGTTCCCATTGTGGCATTCGCAATTTCAACTCCCTCCTGTCGCAATTTTTACATCTCCGAAAACAGAAAATATTCCTTTTTCTCATGAAACGTGTATGATTTTCCTGTTTCATTTTCAACAATAATATTTCATTCACTTTCATATTTCACACGTGCGTAAACTAATATTTGAATTTATATTAGTTCACATAGAACTGACAAATTATAGGAGCGGAGATGAAATATTTGGAAATTCACTTTATGTATCTATTTAGAGTTTATAATAAATATTGCTTAAAGCAACTTATTTATTATAACTAAATTCTCAAATATGAAGAAATAAAAGTATGTAATACAACATCGTAAATCGATTTTACTGAAATTAAAAACAAATTCAAATCGGGTGATCATATTTATATTCAAGCCCATAAACAAGCTAATAAGCAGCAAAAACAAATAAAGTTGCAATGAGCAGTATTAGGGGAACCGCCTGAAAATGCTTTTTTATTTATTCTGTTTTGATAATTTTGCATCTTTACGTACGTACGAGTATAATACCACCCCCTATTTCTACTCCCTGTAAAATATTTTTCTTATTGTACATTCATCACTGCCTTTATTTTTTTTCCAAATTTGTTTTGTTTTGTCCTCAAATTTCCTTTATATTGAGTAGAGACATTAATTTTATATAGATTATATATTTCTAAATTATGTTCTGTGTGGAAGTTGGAACATTACAAATTTTCGAGCATACGAATTATTTCATAGGGTAAATGAAACTTTAAAAAACGTTATTTTATTAGTGCAGAAAGGAATACTTTATTAAACGATTTTAACTAGGAACTGAAAAATTTTAGTAATTAACAATACACGTTTACAAAAATATAATTTCAACCGTACAAAATGTAAATGCTATAAAAGCTCATTTATTTGCGGTTTAAATTAATTTCTTTTTTATGTCACGTATTACATTTATTTTGTTTGGGCAATATAGGTATATTAATTTTACATTAGACATATTTGCATATTCAATACAAATTCGAAAACGTGACCTCTTTCATACGTCTGATTAATCGCGTGAAAAGTTACCTGAAAGTTTACCAACTTTCCCACAAATAAGTACAGTTCTCTCCGGGTTATATTATCTGAACTTTCGTAAAATGCATGTAAAGTGTAAAGTAGCCAACTTAAGAACCTGGTGTTTTTTAGATAATTAACAAAAACAGACAAAACGAAAACAAAAATGATTGAATCGAGTTTTCAACATAAAAGTACACCAGTAAATGTTAATGACATGGTTTTAAAAGAATTACCATATATCGAGTAGATTTTGCTATATTCAAATGTCTCTTTGGTTTGTCACGTGGTCAAAAAGTACGGATAGAATGATGTTGAAATACAAATACATTGTTTTTCCTTACCAATGCAATTTCTGGGACCTGCACTAAATGGAATATAAGCAAATGGGTGTCTTCCGATACAGTTTTCTGGTAAATGTCTGGACGGATCAAATACGTCTGGATTTGGCCAGAATTTCGGATTTCGATGCAAGTCGTATAGGTGAATTAGTAGTTCTACACCTTCCGGAATTACTCCAAATTTAGTATTAATATCTTCACTAGTATAGCGGGATATTGTTGGCACGGGTGGATAAAGACGTAAACTTTCTTTGATACACCTAAAATTACGATACGATATTGAACTTTGAAATATTACTGCATCAACATTTATAATGCCCACCTATCTAGTAAGCACATTTGCGTAAAATCCTCATGAGAAGGTTCCTGTGCCAAATTAGGCCCCAGAACGTGGATAATTTCCTGATATACTTCTTCCTGTATATGAAACCCGAATTATCACTGCTGGAAACAATATAACAGATAATTTACCTGTATGTCCTTATGGCACGCTAAGAGCATTGTCGTATAAGTCAAGCACATTGCGGTAGTATCATGTCCCTATAAAAATAAAAGAAGCCAATATAGGCAAGCTAGGTAACACATTGATCCATTCAACTCATCCGAAATTAAATAAGTTTTACAAAAACCTCAAACATGAAGGTATCAACTTCTTCTCTTATCTCATCATTATTAATAGTTCCATGTTTGATCTTGGCATTGATTAAAATATCCAATAATGGAAGCTTCTTCCTAATGCACATATCGTCCAAGTTTTCGTCAAACGTTTTGAAGTTTTCGCTCCGTTTCTCTATGATAAAATTCGTAAACTGGTGTAACGTTTCCAAAGACTGACGTTCAATTTTCCGTAGCGACGAAAGATCAAAAATCGGTTGAATCCATGTCCAAGGCTTCGAAAATCTTAGATAAAATACGTCGGATATTCGAGAAACTGCGTTTTTGTAGTCAATACTCTCCTGAGTATGCATGAATTCGCTACTGCCCATCGAGGTCTCTAAAACCCAAATCAACTCTTACCTGAATAAAAAACGGCTCAAGCAGATATAACTAATGTTGGTTTGATTCTCCATTAAGGCTTATCGTCCATTTGTATAGAAAAAAATATAGGTTTGCTTATTCCTTTTTTGGAAAGTATCCAAAAATTTGCAATAACAGGCATGACACAAGGCCACAACAAAAAAAAAAGAAAAATTAATTGATTTAGAACATTAATTCAATCTACAATAAAAACCTTTGAAATTGGAAAGAACATTAGAAAAGTATATGAGTTGAAAGAAAGTAGAAAGAAGTAAGTTATCATTTTCAGTCTAAAAGGTAAATACGAATCAATAAGTGGAATCCTGCAAAAAGTTTGATGAGCTGAAAATATAACATACAAAGTGAATCAGTTTAGGGTAGCAGGACTTTAATAGTAGACAAAATATCCGATTTTAAGACGAAAATATCATATATTCAAAATAACCTCCTTCTTCTATGACTATCTAGAATTGATTAGGAAATTTTGTTTAAACCATGCTGATACAGTTAGCCCTAAAAAAGTCATTATAATCTGAAAATTAATTATCAGCACCATGTGGAGCCCCAGAATATAAAAATTTCAGTATCTTAATATGTGCGTTAATTATTTAAAAAAAAATTAAATTAAATTTTAACTTTGTCACCTTTAACTGTATCTAAACAATGAATTCGTTTTCAATATATGTAAGTAGAATTTTCTATTCACAGTTAATTTCACACACAGTTCATTCACAGTTAATTAAGTTAACAATATCTGACTCACCTTTTATATTTGGTTTGCTTAAAGACTTACCGGCAATGGTTGCAAGCGAAAAATTCGACACAAATGGTACAATGTTAGTTGGCTTGTTTAAATTACCAGTTTCTATTTCGTCCACAAACCTTTTAACTTCTTTGTTAAACGTGCTCACAAATTGTTGCAGAATAGTGAAATGAAAAGCTGGTGTTAACATTTTTCGCCTTTTCTGCCATTTTAATCCTAAGAAAATATAATAGAATACATTCTATCATGAAGAATACGAAAATCTATTTGGCGGATGATTTCGCTTTAAATAACAATATATTTGGTGTTGATTCCAAGCTTATTCTAAATATAATTGAATGCCAAAATCCTTAGAATAAATTCGACTGCCTGGTTGATAAAGGTGTATTCACCTTATAAGACAACAACTTTTCAAACACCTTATTAACGATAATTCAAGATTTTTAATTTTCCAGAAACTCCAGGTCAATGTAATTGAACTTTTGAAATTTTTTTTCCTAGGTATTTCGCCTCAAGGTTTTCATCGTTTATGAAGGCAAACTTTTTTCGCGTCTATTATTACACATTTATAAAGAGTGCTCTTATTTCACAATAAAGAATTAAGTATTTATCAAAATGTACTCAAGAGTCCCCTAGTCTCGGCTCAAGCTGTAAGAGAAAAATTGCAATTGGTCAAAAAACATTTTTTTTTTTAATTACCAATAGGTTTCCATTGAATATCTGCGTTTATCGTTCTCAAAATGTGTAAAAACTTGCTCGGAGTTTTCGTTTTATCACAAATTGTAATTTTTTTTATTTGGACTTGGATTTGGAAAATTGGACCTAAAAGCGCGATCCCATGGCGACCCATTAATTTTGAATAACATCTTTTATTTAAAAGTTCGTTAATTTTTTCTCCCTAGATATTATAATCGATGTTAACAGTTGAATTACTTTTAACAGCAGTTAGAATTTTAATAATTTCATCTGTTTGTCCTATTGAGCTCAATATTTTGCTTAATGTAAATAAGTTTTGTTTAATTTTGAAAGGTTTTTCCAAAATATGTTTTGATCTTATACATCATTTTTTCTGTGATTCTGGGATTTTGTATTTCTTCTGTACTCGAAATGACGTCAAACCTTTGATGCAATTGAAAGTGAAACTTAAACCTCTCGAAAAAAACAAGTTTTTCCTCATCAGCTATTTGTTAGTTAAATTTATAATGAGCTTGTACTGAAATTGTTTGTTTTTTCATGGCAATTTTTTTATTGACTTTTCGGTAAGTTGAGTTTATTTTCGAATAATAAATGAGTTTTTTTATTTAAATTTTATCCGTATCATTGAGTTTTTTCGAAAAGTTTAAATTGACCAATAAGCTCCGATCTTTCGGCCATCGGCCTGTATAAGTTACCTGTGCTCGTTAGTAGCCCTTCGCCAAGCCAGCGATTCAAGAATTTATAAAGAAAGCTCTTTTCCATATGTTTCATGGACCCAATAGCACTCTAAAACAGATCAAAATTATATAACCAATTATTTACATCCTGACGCCCGGAAAACTACAGATACTGTATTTTACATTAATTAATCGAAAACTGGGCAGAAAGACCGATTGGGTCGATAGCCTTTTTCTGTAGGAAATAAAGATTATTTATATATATATATAATCGAAAACGTAATTGAAGTTTTGCATGCAAAAGTAGAACTTTTTTCCTTTAGCAATGACTAGTTGCACATCTAATGGTAAAGTTGCTCTTTATTCAATCAAGTTCAAATCAACATTTCCAATTAATTTTGCTAAAGAAATTTATATGGTCCCAAAACATTTCGATTCAAAGAGCTTATCGATAATTATTTGCATTATACCTCGATTTCATATGGTCCTTTTAAACCAACAAACATCAATGGCCCAGTTATTAAGTGAGCAACAGCTGGAGCGTCTTTTGTCCATTCCCGTGTTTTGACAAATGCTTCTTCTATGAAAATTGGTAAATTTACTTGAAACATTCCATTCAAAAGTTATTATAATATTATGTTATGGTCAATAATCCGATATTTCTGCAGCGCACGGTCAAATGTTGAACCTGTTTAAATCAAAGGCGTATAAATAAACATGCTTTTTAATGCGTAAACAACTTTGGAATTATAGGCGCAAGAAATGATTAATTATTACTAATTGGCAGTACGATTAACGTGTAATTAATTTTGTTTTAAGTGGTAAGTTCAAAGTTGACATGATTACGCAATTCCGCTAAATTAAGACCGACGCACAAATTGATCAACATGCACACTTTATCAAAATTATCAATTTGGTTGCTTCTTTCAAAATCACTGACTAATAATCTGTTATATGCATTTCAAGGAGAAGATGAGTTCCCTGAATATACTCTACCATTCCACTTCAAATTTATCGAGAAAAAATAATAATTTCTGAATAAAATAAAACTGTTGCGTCTATAATAAGGAAGATATCGTCGTTTAGAGATCGAGATCGCTCAAAAACGCCTTAACATGGTTCAAAAATATAAATTATTTCGAATCTGAAGCTTCTAATGTGTTTTTCAACAATATCGTTGTATTCCCCTCTTTCTTTATATAAAAAAGGAAATAGAATTTTGGGCATTTTGAGATAAATGAGTTTTTTTGGAAAATCAACCTGTGTTTTGGTGCTCAATGGAAAGCTTTCGATCTAAGAATCTCCTTAATATGCATATATAGAGTGTTCTGGTCAACAATAAAAAATATATCGTTGTTTAAAGTCGTGATCGCTCAAAAACGCCTTACAATGAAGAAAACAAATTTGGGTCTCATGCTTTTAGTGTATTTTTCAATGAACTCGTTGAATTCATTCCTCTCTTCATTTGCATGAAAATGAAGTGTTTGAATTATTTGTGAAAGTAATTTTAGCTTTTTAATATGCATATATAGAGTGTTCGGGTAAATAATAAGGAAAATATTTTCAATATTTCAAGTTTAAATGTCGTGATCGTTCAAAAACGCCTTAAAATGAACAAAAAATGTTGATTATTTCCGATCTGAAGTTTCTAGTGTGACGTCCTTGAGCTTTTTGCATTTCCCGCTATCTTTTTATGAAAATGAAATAGAGTGATGAAAATTAAGCCGAATTTTGTTTTGTCCTACTCAGAACTTCATGTGCATTTATTGTATATTATAAAGAATAACTATGCGTTTAACGTGTCACACATTTTAAAAGTATTCTATTCTATTCATTATTATGTTAAACATTGCGAATACGTGAATTCGTTTTGGATCAGCAACTTACCTTTTGTGATTCCAACAAAATCAAGGTGTCCTATTAAAAAAAATTTTTTTCTTACACATGGTAATTTTTCAACTAAAGTTTTTCGACGCCAAAAGCTTTTAATCCTGTTTGAATTCAGAATAATATAAAGTAACAGGAGAATTGCAGTGACAGCGCATAATATGAAGAACATTTTGCTACTAAATTATCAGCGTCAAATTCACTATACGGATAAAAAAGTAAGACTGCATTCGAAACTATCTGAAATTATTTGAGTCATTAACATCATTAATTTCTTATTGATGCAATTATTATCAAGCCCCAAGCAACAAACATTTAACGAAAAACTTTGAGGCATGTTTTCAGTTGCATCATTTATAGTTTTGTGGATTATATCAATTCAAAATAAATACATTTCATTTCTATTGCTATTCTGATAAGTCTCAAATTTTGTCAGTATTGCCATGGTATTACGAATTAAAATTAAAAGCATATTCAAATAATTGGAAAAATAAAATGCTCGTTCTTATATGCTGATAAATAAAATTCTCGAATAATAAAATTTTTACTTTTTTGCCATAAATGAGAATAAAAAAATAAAAACAGAAATTCTGACAATAGAAAGAATTATCTTTTTATTGTCTTAAGATCAACATTTCTTTTGTATTATATCAACTTGCGTCAAGTTTAATGAAATTTGCAAAAGTGTTCACTTGCTTAAACAATCAATTGCAAATAATTGCTTTATCGATAGCCATATCGGTTACTAGGTCATACTTAGGTCGCAAAAAATTGGAGACTATTTGTGCTAGATATACATGCCTGAATCGATACAGAATCTCCGAAATGATATAAGATTTTTTCAGATTCAGTTTCATAACAATTGTTTCATAAAGTTTGCTTATTTCACGGTAACACAAAGGTCGACAACTTTTTATTTTACATCAGGATATAAATTATACTGAGTTTCAAGATAGTTTTGGGCTTTTAAATGGCTTTCAATTTGCGTCCCCTATCTAGTTAAAGTTTGCACTGGGTTGGATTTTATTTATTTTAAACATATTTTGCATTGTTAAAGTTCATCTTGTAATACGATATTGCGATATTTCTACCAGTACCTACTTGAGATTCACGAGAACGAAAGATGCTGTATAATGGGTTTTTAACCGTGGCTGGAAATTTTTTTTCGCATATTTACGATGCTCATAAATCACTTAACTGAAGCTCTAGTTCAATAATCAATTTCTAGATTAATGAAATCTTCTCTGAACGGCTATTGGCGTGCAAACTACGTTATTTGAAAACTTTTCCCATTAAAGAAACATTCAAAGTAATTTTCGCTCCTCCAGTAAATTGTTAGGAACCGATTGTAACTGATGAACCAAATATGGGGGGAATCCGGAATACATATTAGATTTTAGCGCCTTATGGTGCCAAATCACTAATTATTTTCCTATTTAGACCTGTTCCTTTTCAAATCCATTAATATTATACAAGGGGAGCGCAATAATGAAATGAGCCAACGGCTGCTTCTTATTAGCTCTATAAGTAATAATAGCGCTAATTATAACAATTCGGGTGAAGGAAACAAATATTTTATTATTCTGTTTTTGATAAAAATAAGCGAGCGGCTAGAATATGTGTCAAAAACAATATTAAAGTTTCGCTTACATTTTAGCTACCCACCAAAACCACTTTCCGGATCCAAACAATAAACTTACGAGATAAGAAAGATCTCGTGAAATGGAAATTGAAGAAGGTCTGATCGAAACCGATATTCTTGGCTTATAAATGTATTTTAAATAGATTTGTATAGTGGAAGGCCAAAACAATTTTCATATATAAAGGAAATATGATAAAAGTAAATTTACGACATTCTGCCCGTTCTCTCCAAAGAAGCCTCCGAAACACTTTAAAAGAACTTCCGCCAAGTTTAAATCACCCTAAATTTTAATTTCTTAGCCCGATCAACTTTTTTACCGTTTCCAAAAAATCGTTCATTGTATCACTTTTTTTCGAAATTGTATCAAAATAGGAAGTTGAAATATTAATTAGATATTAGAAAGCTATTTTATCCATTATACTCTATCTACCCAATCTAACGCAAATTAGATTATTATATTAGAGAATACTCGAATTTTGCTCAGTGTATCCAAAACTATCAACTTTCAATCACCCTGTCCAATCTCAATTTTCATAGTTCGTAATTGCCATAATCTGGTCCCTAGAGGCATGAAAATTTGCGAATAATTTCACTGTATAATTTCGAGTGCAAAATGTGATCGCAGTTTGAACTGATTAATTATTGACGGTCTCAAATTAACAGTAAAGGTAAATTTCGGAAATCCGAAAGGGCCTGGTGGCGCGTAACTTGCAAAAGAGGGTAACGGACAGCTGAAACATGTCCCGCTGTTCCGTTAAACTACTGAACTTGAATCCTGCTATTCCTGCTATTCCTACGGGCAATATGCGCGCAGTCTGACTGTGTCTTTCCGTGGTTTCGCTGAACAAAGGTCGTGAATTTTGCGATCTGATTTTTAGCGCTCGTCGGCTTTCTCAACTTTTAAGCCATTATAAAAATTGTTGAATTTTTCTGTAGTAAAATGTGAACTTTGGATGCTAAAATAGTTTCAAATATTGGCTTTTTATTTTCTAGCTTTTACATCAGTAATTTGCTTCGTTTTTGGGTTATTGCAAGCTATATAAAACTTTTCATTTGTGCTACTTGAAAATATTTTTCAGGACACTAATAATATAAATGGAATGAACAGTGCTGGGTTTTGACTGCAGAATATTTTCCTGTGCAATGGACCCATGTTGACATATTAGGTAAGTTCTTCAAATATAATTAAATCCCAGCATATATTGTAAAAGATTTTTCATGGAAAACGAGTTAAATAAGCTTTTACAGTCTGATGAAAAGAGTTAAATTGGAAATATTGTAGTGAATGTATGAGTCAATAAGATACATTTTTGCTAGTATAATGTGGATTTTTTTAAAATAAATCATATTAAATAATTCGTTCAAATGCCTGATTGGTCCCGCTTCTAAACATTCGAAAACTCTATCCAATCCAATTTTAAAGCCGAAATCCTCATTAGTGGAAAGCCTTCAACAAGATAAAGACTTTGCATGTTATTTTACTAGCGATTATCACAATCAGATAAAAGTATGTAATCGCAGGTTTTAGTTCTACGTAAATCTTCATGCTTGATTTGAATGTTCTATAAATTATATTAAGCCTGCATGAGTGTCCAGATTTCCATAAAGAAATATTGTGGAATAAAGCTAAGTAGCTACAAGATCTAAAAATTAAATATATACACAGGATGATTCAAACTTAACCCCGATATGCTGATTCATGGAATAAACATGTATTGGTTTTGGAGATAGAAGGTATTAAAGTTGGACATTTTAAGACGTTCGAACTATTGCTGCGATATAAGTAAAATTTTGAACATTTCTGGCCTAATTTAATTGAATACATAAACTTAATAAGTGCGAACTACCCACTCATTGGAGAATTATCTGTTGTATTATTTCCCTTCATTATTGCAGCAAAGTAGCAAATTTGTAAAATATGTTAGAAAATATCGAAAATATCAAAGCAAATTCAAGTTGATCTTTGAATGATTCGCCTCATTTAATACTAAAGGGTTAATATGTAACAGAAACGACAGCTTTTAGTAAGGATGATTTAGTAAGGGGTTTTTGTTTAGGAGGTTGTAAAGGAAAATGTGGTCAACGATTTGTAGAGAAAAAATTCTAATTTATCGGATATCGCCAATTATTATTTGTAAAAAGAAAATAATCAAATGAGATCAAGATCGAACTTTGAAGAAACCTGAAAGTTCATACCACAAACCGTATTTTCTCAGCGAAGAAATATAAGCAGGCAAAACGTGGAAACAGCCCAGTTTCTATATATCCCCCTATGGCTACTGTTCTACCAGTTGAACTTTTGCCGCACTTTCAATAATTTATCTGGTGCATTACCCATATATAGATTAATTTAGCAATGCCACAAACCAAGCTCAAATTAATTTATGAGCCTCTTAGGGTCGGATTCCAGAAATAAAGTACCTTGGACTACTATAAGTCGTGATTTATCGGCTTAGCTGACTCAGTCGCACGGAAAAGGTGTGTGCTGAATTATTCCTTTGCTTTACACGTATTGAGTCGGCTAAATACATCGCTGAGCTTTGCTACTTGAAAAGCTACTGTCGAAATTTGCTGTATTTTCTGCAGTTCGGAGTTTTTGTTTGAAACTTGAAAACTAATCAAACTATTTTAAGTATTAAAATGCCAAGTAACTGGAAATGTACTCAACCGATTTACGTTTTATTTGTTGGAAATTTTTGTTTAATATGGTTTGTATTACGGGCGATTTATTCGTTATGTGATACACGTATTTTCAAATGTGACCTACATATTGTGATTTTCACTTGTCACAGAAAAGGGATTAGTTTTCCTGAATTTCACCAAATTGTTGCAAATATTGTCAATAAAACATAGCTATTTCAAGCTTAGAACCTGAATGGTATTACGGGAATTATTCCTGCTCAGTCCATATATTCGGGTAGAAATAGTTAATTAAATATACATGTTTTCAGTTGTTGACACAAAACGCCTGTAAATAAACATTTAGCAAAATAAAAACGCACAATTAATTCCATTGATTTCTTGGAATATTCCAGGACTTTCTTAATTTGCTGGCATTCATCCTGAAAACGGTTAAGAGCCTGCTATTCCAATGAAATTGGAAATTCGTAAACAAGGATTGAGCCTTTAAAAGACAATCTAGAGAATAAAGGGAATAGTCATTTATAAGTCAGAGTGAAAAACTTCGTAGCCTTACTAAAAAAAATTACCGGAGCTATTTTATAATGAAAAAAGTTGTATTTATTTATTAGGGGCACAAGTGTTTATGTTCACAAATAGAAAACACAAACGCTTCATTGTCTGTCTAAAAGTGTCTAAAGTGATTGGATTAATTATTAAAACAAAATTATATCAAGTAAGAAATATTAATGACTAATTAATTAATAATTTTAAACGAAAAGTTAATGATTTCGTCGATTAAAGCTTTCCTAAACGTTTGAACATTAATGTGCCTTAGATGTTGCCCTGTTAAAATACCAGAAATTAAAATAAATTGTTTTAAAGCACATAAAGATGATGAAAACGTAAAATACTGAACACATAGATTTGAATTGTATCTAGCTCAAGTGCCGCCTTACTAACAACGATTACAGTGCCTTTATTGATAGAACCAAACACGTTTCCTTTGAAAAGCTTATATTTCTCAATAAGGGAAAGAATCTTTCAATATTCCGTCAGTACCATTAAAGAATCATTAGGCAGTGGCAAATGTTCTTGTGAACTTTTGTATTTTTCTCACATATATTCTGTAATCAGCTTTCAATCTAATCCAGAAAATATTATTAAAACTTTTGCATCAAATTAGTTATAGCATCATTAATTATTTTTTACATATATTGGAAAATAGAATTTGTTTTATACATTTTTTATGTTTTGCATTAGCGAATACTTTAAAAATAATGTTAGTGGAACAGATAAAACAGCAAGCAGAAAACTAAACGTTCGTATATTTAAGACGTCGATCATTCGAACTCGCAAACATTTTCAAAGTCAATCATTTTTCGATATTCGTCTATAGGCAGCATTGAACTGTTCCAAAAATATAAATGTTAGAACGGTGTGCGGGCCGATTCGAAAGTAATAAGGCATAAATCCCTTCCAAAGTGCAAATATTCCTTCGTTCCTTATTATTCCAATCACGACTTGTACCGGTCCCGCTTGTTTTTCGCTCCCCACTGTTTTCGAATTCTGGATTCTAGTTTTTGCTATGTCCACTGGCAAACTGGCTGCCGATGTTATTAATCCTAACAGAATAAAATGAAAATAGGTATAGAGAATTTTTTGAGCATTCAGCACGAAAAAGTCTAAATGGGCAATTACATCATGCTATTACAGACAATAAGTTGGGTATCTTTAGGATTTTTCAATACCGGAAATCTTTTTTTAGTCTCTAAATGTGACATTATTTAATTCGCTTTTCAAACATGTATAGTTATAGGCATTAACTCACCTGAAATCATGGACGCGCAAAAATGGAGAACAACACCTTCGTGAAAATGAGCTACAGATATCAAGTATTGTTTGGCCTGTGAATATGTGGCCAATTGGGCAGCATTAACGACCTAAAAGTGTTTGAAGCACTTAGTAAATTCGAATGCCTTTAAACTTTTCAAGAGATCATTACACTTTACCGCGGCAAAACTGTTATCTGCTAAGTATAATTTTGGAAGCTCATAAATATGTTTTGTTAAGCAACTTAATTTATTTTTTGCAATACAGAATCTTTGACCAGTTTTACACAGGCCACATAATCATTGTATATTTTAAGAGCCGATGTAGCAAAAATTGGCTCTGAAAAATTCGATTAATTTTACGCAGCAGTTTTAGGATGATGTCCCATCAAATTTGGCCAAAACGCATCATTTGTAGTAAAGATACTGTTCAAACAAGGAGAAAATTATGTGATAAAATAAATGTGCAAAATTTTGATGCGACAATTTTGATATTGGATTATGATCCACCTTGCAATAGACAGATAATGCGATACCTCAAACGGGTTTAGTAACTCATAAAAACTTGGATGAAATATAATGCGACACCAACCATTAATATTTGTTCTCGTCTCGATAAAATTTATAGGACGACAAAAGATTTCTTCAAATGAGCAGCTGCAAAATGTATTCGGCTTGCAAAATTCTCAATTATATCAAATGCTCAATAATAAAATTGCGATTTATTACTTCATTAAATTGTTATTTTGGTTTTCCTGAAATCAACTATTGTCCTACCATTGCTCTCCCCATAGTGGGAACTGCACCTTTCCACCAAGTTCTAATGCCTTCTTCCTTCCAAATTCTCAAAAGGGCATCAATAACATTTTTATAATTGCGTCGCTTATCTGGAGGCAATCGGCCATCTGAGGTCATCCTGATTAAGGCCACATCGGCAGGAGTACCAACAAAAGCTCCACAAACTCCCGCAAACATGCCAATGGAGGCTTTAGTTGCAAAATTCGGGGGACTGTCTCCAGATGATAGCAAATCGAATAACCAAGTATAAATACCTTTAATTGAAATGAAGAGTAATTAGTAAAATGTACTGCTAAATGCACACGAAGTAAGTAATCTTCCTATTTCCAAGAAGATAATAAATATTCACAAGTTCATTCTTTTAATTTTCGGGTATTTTCTACCAAGTAAAAGGAAAATATTATCCACCTAAAATGAAACTTTTACCCTCCTTACCCAGTCTATACTTGACTAAGTAGTGATTTTATTACTATCTTTAAAAAAATGTCGAAAATAAATATTATAGGCATAGAAATTAGATATTAGTATGCATATAAATAATCCAACAGAGCTGATAGCTTTTTGCTTGTAAGTGCGATTTTGTTCGTGTCATTAGTTTTTTCTATCAATTATCTGAACGAATCGATTTCTAATTTTTCATTTTCCAGACGTCTTCAGGAAATTTCACTAATGAAAGCTTTAATAATTTCAAGCGATAGCAGGATTCTCGCCGGAGATATATTTAACGCAATTTTTAAAGTACGTCTTCATATAACTTAATCAAGCTCAAACTCTTTTAAGCAGAATGCTATCAATTACTGTCATACGATTTGCTCTTCAGGCTTCAAGTTTCAAAGCAGTTAATAGAAGCAATGATAATTTGTAATTCAACTTTATCAACTGAATTGGTTCTTCTACGCTCATCAGGAATAATTGCTGCTTCAAATTTTTAACCCACAGTTGTAACCGTTGAAAAGCTTTAGCTATTTTCATGGCACCCATTTTCATAGAATTCCGAGATTATTTAAATCCAATTTAATGTTGCATGTGGCTTGTTATTGTTGGTGGGAACATGTTTCATGCTATAGCTTCACATATAAATTGATGGTTCGCATTTTACTCATTAAAAAACGATTCTCAAAACTAGATTTATTTCGAAAGTTTGGAGTAATTTCAGCTATTTCACCCGGTACAAAGGACCCTATTCGTTCCAAATTCAACGAAACGGAAACTCGTGAATTAGAGCACTTCATCGATTTCCAATATCAAACTGAACACACTCGATTTACTTTGTACCACATCAAACTTTGATATCACTGTCTTTCATGCTTTCCGTTCGGATGCTTGCAACATAATGGTTAAGCTCCGAAAAAGCATTTTCTGCTTTCAGTTTGAATTCAAGAAACTAAAAAATATGTTCAGAACTGTAAGCGATTGCTTCCGTCATTATCGCAATTGTTAAAACRCATKGRTTAATTTCAAAGTTGTTATAAGCTATATTGATAAATATACGAGATTTGGAAATAGTTTCAAAAGGGTTTTAAGTCACTCCATAGCAAAACTCAACATTTGTAATTGCAGTTGTTTTCATGTTACGAGAAAGTGAGTATTTTCGTTAGTTGTACATTATGTTTATTTTTCAGCTATTTCTGGAGTCAGAAAAAAATTGATTCCGCCTTTTTCAGTCACTCTATTGAGTACAATAACTCATTTTTTTCGTTTATAAATGTTTGAATTTTGTATAAAAATTGTTCGCTAAATATAAATGTGGTAAATAAAAAAGTTTGTGAAGAACCGTCTTGATTCCTTTAGCATATCTCTGATGAGAATMATGGCTCATTTTACTCGAAAATGCGAYCTTCACATATTTGTTAATGGATAAATAYTCGAAGAATAAATGTTATTAAAAAAATAGARAAAAAGTGAAAAGTTACTTTATAAGTAACAAMAAACAAATRRCAATTTTGCYGTTTAGTTCACGCKAGCARRCAAGATCGARGGTTTTGGGTTAACTTTTARCAGCMCCTAAAATTAMCTATACRAAMCTCTTTTCSYATACAAACAGTGAAASTTTCCACATTGTGCAAAACTAACCTAATCTAGTAGTTGTATACGTAGCCTGTCTTAGCAGTCCTGCTGATAATCCATTGTAAAGAGTCAAAAGTCCTTCTTTATGTACGATGTCCAGTAAAAGGTGGAGAGAGGTTTTATATTCTTTGGTTTTGCCACCTTCTCCGCTCATTTGCATTCTATTCTTCAGCAAGTCCAAGGGTTGCACAAAGCAAGTACCCAACATTCCTAAGAAATAAAGTAAAAGCGTAATATTCAGCAAAAAAACAGCTAATAGTTTGCACGGGGAAGCTTTCAGTCATTAAACAATCTTCCTCGCCCTGTACTTAATGGATACATTATGGGCAGGCCTATAAACCCGGAGGTTCTAGGGAGGCAAAATGCTCTGTTTTATGTTTAATCACCTACCTGCCGAGCCCCCGAACAAAAACTTTAGTTTATTAGGTATGGGCTTTTCTTTTCTATGTGGTTCCCCCATGACTCAATTTTCACCGTACGATTTTAATTGTTCAAAATACACTGAAATTTTGAAAAATTTGAAATGAATGAATTGGGTTATTTCAGAGAAAGTTCTCCATGTTCGAAATTGTGACTGAGTGTCAGATGTGAGATATTTAACGAATATTGATTAATGTCACGAATATCAATCGGTAATAAGCTAAAGCTTCCTTTTGGAATGGATATGAGCAGGGAAAGTTATCGAAGAACTAAGTGAAAATTTAAGAATTGTTTGAATACTTTAACCAGCAGTTATCCAGAAAAGTAAGTAAACAATTTCTGGATTTTTTTTTAATCTTGTAAGTTTTGTATGTATTTTTATTGTGTGTAACCTGGTTGTTAGGAGGTTACACCTGCAGATAGCTGATGTGTAAAGTGTGCTTTTGGTTTGTTTTTTGAACTCCGCTTTTCTTCAAATATTTAACAGGAGCAAAGCATTCCCATGTTTCACTTAACGTCATTTGAGAATTAATATTGCATCTACAGGAATCGTGAATATATTTTTCTGAATCGAAAAAGCAAAGCTTCTACCCAAACTTCCACGAATTTCTTAATAATATAGGGTTTCATCTAATTAACAATGTACAATATTGTGAAGCGAATAGAAAAAGTAATAAATACATTCAGACCAATCGGAGAACTTGATGGGAAAAGGTTAAACGTCTTAATCACAGTTATTTTGCTTCTACATTGATTTCGACTAAATTGAATTGCTTAAAGTTGGCATTAATGGCCTAAACAAGAAAGCTGAAAGAAGATGCTAATAATTTTGCTAATAAACTATGAAATATGCGTTGATCTGCACCCAATGCACTTAAGTTAAGTGGTGCCATAAATATTCAACAAAACTGCAATAAATTCCTCAAAACACATAATACTTTCAAGGCCCACTTAAAACTGAGCCTGCTTGGAACTCCACCAAAAAGGTAATTCTGGCGTATTTTTTGTATGCTTATTTTACATAATTGATATTCTACTATCCTGGAACCGAAATGCGATGATAAAAAAACTCATTTAAGGAGTTTAAGAGGCAACAAACAAGAAATTGTACATGTTAACTTTTATTACAAAGGTAAAAGTTTTTTGCCACTTCTGTAACACCTGCCGTATAAAATCGATTTCTGGGCAAATTTCAATTGAACATTTGAATCATCCTGCACGTTTTACAAGGAAGAATATGCAGTGTGGAAAGTTCCCACAGGCAACCTTTGTGGCAGTATTTCCAGTATAAATAAATAGGCTTATTTTGCTCTTTTCTGTCTCCTTTTTCATCTGGCTATTTTAGACTATCCTAAATTCATTATCCAAATTGATGATTGACATTTATCCAAATTTATTTAGCAATGTACATTCAATTGATGGATATTTTATTAGTTTACTACTTTTCTTAAGAAAAGTGCCAAAAATCCCATGCTCTAGCATGAAATGAGGACAATCCGAGGATAAGTCCTAAAATTATGTGCTAAACATTTTCAAAACTAAAACGTTTGATGATTTGTAAATGCACCACCAGATAATATTAGTGAAAAAGACGTATACGCATATGCTGATAAAAAAAACCAGCAACAGAAATTTTGCAGTTTCGAACAGTTTTATTTGCTTAAAGAAAAATAAAATAAAGTCTTCCAGATTTATGAAGTCGGTAGAACACTTCTAAACACGCAAATCGTTTATCTGCTAAATAATTTCCCTTCCTTCATTTTTTCCCATGTAGTAGATTTGGAATTACAGAAAAACTAAAAACAGCCCTTCTTTCAATTTTTTATTAAATATCTCTGTTAAGAGGATGCAGACGTATGGAAGAAGGGTCTACTTTAATATTTATCCGAATAAAAATAATTAAAAATTCAATTATAATGAATTGAATGAATTAAATAATCAATTATAATGTAATATTAAAGTCTTGAATATTATTTCCAGCTGCTATTATGGAATAACTGGTGGAATTTTATTCGAAAGTCCCCAAGAATGCCCCAAAAACTCGGATTTGAGCCGCTTAGTCCCATAATTTGTCGCAAAAGTTCAGATTTTCAGGTAGCCAAAACTCTTTGCACTAACTAGCGACAAACAGCAGACAGTTGTTAAAAAACAAACGAAAAACCTTGGTAATATTATGTCACACAATCTAATAATTTAAATTCAACTAATTAGGGGAAGTGGTGCGTATATTTCGGTTAGTTTTAACTCATTAGAATGGCGAACTGCAAGGGCCTTTTGTTGATGTTACTATTACTTCTTCTACGTTTTAAGAGTTTATTGACATTCGCAATTTATTCTCTTTTGAAGAAAGTTTCGCTTGTTGGAAAGGTCTTAAGTTATCCGAAGTTGATGATTTACTCAGCTATCAACCCCACTTTCTTTAAGCCCTTTTTGCTCACATTCCTAATGAAAGCAATTAACAATCCAGAAAGTTTCGTTGGCGTAGAAAGTTTTTGTTAGCTGCCGTCCGCTAAAACCGACAGTTTACAATGTATAGTAATGTTTTCAGGAATTAATTTAATTTGGAAACCTACTAAGTATGAGCCTCAAGGAATTTAAAGTATGCATAAAGACTGCAAAATTGAAGAAAAGTTTAATAATCTTTTTGATTTTTGAAAAGTCATATGAAACAAATAATTCCAAATTTTATTGATATCTTAACTTATTTGGTAAAAATTATGCATTACGAATGATCCTACTTTAGTCTGATTAACAGTAAGTTTCACTAGCAAGTTATTATCCACAAAAACTTGAGGTTTCAGGTTTCGAGAAAAGTTGATTATACTTTTTGTACTTAATCAGGTGTGGAATTTTAATCGGCATTTTTCCGCAATAACTTATACAATAAAAATTGTAGAAAATGCCTAAATATGCTTCAATTATAGTTTTTGGCACCAGAGATGTCCATGATGATCCATATCTCTTCTTCATTTCTCTTCATTCATTCATTTCTCATACTCGAGCCCTGTTTATGGCGACTTCTGTTCTTACTAAACCAACTATGCACATATTACACAAGTAACAATGAACAATAAATTTATAAACTCTGCAAAATTATAATTTAACATGTAAATTTTTTATCCATTTCTTAAACGGCGGCGGCATTGAAAACAGTTCTTCTATGCTTTTGCGAGTATTTAATTAACCCAAAAAGCAAAAATTCTTTGAATTGAGATCAGGACCCCCTTTCGACCCTTACAGTAGATATATTTTTATACCTAAGAGTCGCTTATTTAATATTATTAAATCCTGAATTGTATGGAAACCGTGAATAACAAAAACTTAAAAAATACATAAACTATTACGCAATGATTTAAAAAACAATTCAGGTGAAAGGCAGCTTTGAACAATTACATAAAGGTGGATGTGGAAGGAGATATTTTTTTAATGTTTAATCTTTTAACACGGAGTACGAATTTTAACTCACATACGTAAGTTGATACCTATAAAGTTAATTTATAATTAATATAAAGTATATAGTTTAATCCCGAAAAAGTACTGTTGAATATAATTATCGAGAATTTTAAAATCGCTTTCGATATTAATTAAATTCTATTGTCCATTTGTAAAATTAAAAAATATATATTTGCCTGGACCGTTCACTTGTCTGTACTTCTGAAAAGCAAATATCTACATAAACGTAGTTATTTCGACATTTTTACGTTAAAAGCTTTTCGCCAGAGGAACGTAAGCAGCACTTTCCTTTCTTTGCAGAATATTTTGATGCACTTGTTTAAACTCTATCAAACACAATAACGTCGTATTCTCTTATTTTCCTCTTTTATATAGCTCCGTTTACCTAATGTATAGGTTTCTAGGAGAGAATGGTAACTGTTGCTTCAAATTTTCCATGACAAAAAGCGTTTATAGACATTATGCTACAACCATATTCTTTTACTATCCATTATATAATAACATATTAATAMACCATTTTTTTAGCATAAGGACTGACCAGGTTTATAGGGAAAAACAATATTAATATTTGCGGAAATATACATATATAGAATAAATTATATTAATTATAATAAATTATTTATGTAGTTCAAGTGTCTAATGTCGAATATATTTGATTAATTGATATATGCTTTTACAATGCCAGCAATTTAATTGGAACCATGCCAAGGCACTTTCACAATATTTTAAAAACGCATTGTAGGCGAAAATTATTCGATAAAAATGCAAATAAATGCAGTTTTCTACCACAGCATTTTTGTTCTGTAGGTTTGCAGTAAGCAGTTCTTGACCCAGTTTTTAAATTATTCGGTTGGGTCATTATTTATCAAAGAATTTTGGATCGGAAAATAATCCAATGCTCTAGCGCTGTTTTAATTATACTTAAACAGATCTAAATTTGAAAGCAAAATGCAGAATAGCATTGAATTTACATTCGATTACTTGCAATAGCTCTAAATATAGAGTAACGCTTGATATATACGCAGTGACTCAAGGTGGCGTTATATGCGAAGACTTCAAAATTAATTAAGAAAATAACCTGAAACTAGAATGAAAAAATAACAGAAATTCGAAGGAAAAATAAAGTAAAGTTTCAGTCTAGAAGTTTTTTCCATTCCATTTTTTTCCCACTGAAAACGATTTATGTTATCTACTGTTTAAAGTTTTAAGAGAGATGTTCTCCCAATATGGGTACTGATAAAACGGAAAATAATCTACTTGTGTTAGCAATATAACAAGATATAAAGCAGTACAAAAACAATAAATATAGCAAAAATATCAATTCCAAAATTAAAATCAAATCCTGGGTTCTTCAGTCATTTATTGTTCATTTATCAATTTAAAAAAACGTTTCGGTGTTTTCCACCATCATCAGTTTTAATGTGTAGCGTTGTTGCTACTTTACGCCTTGGCATGTATTTGGAGTCTAGATACATGCCAAGGCGTAAAGTAGCAACATGCAACTATTTTTTAAATTGATAAATGAACAATAAATAAATGACTGAAGAACCCAGGACTTGATTTTAATTTTGGAATTGAAACACAGTCAGGAAAGTACGTACAACTACAGAGTAATTTCCGATAAATCGATAGTGTTGATAACATTTGCAGCTTACTGGTTATTCCTCCGGTGCTCAACAATAATTTTGTTTGTTTTTCTATCCACATTTTTGCATTTGCTTATCAGCCCTACAGAAAGACTAAAAGATCCGTTTACTTTAGAAAAACCCATATTTTTATTTCATTTTCACAATTTCAAACTCCAAAATAAGTTTATCGTCTAATGAGTTTACGCAAATTATGTTGAGACATCATAAAAATTGAGACAAAAT